TGATTCTGTTAGTGGCAGTATTAATACCATTAAGCAGATCTGTTCTATCTTCTTATCCTTTCTAGAGATGAGGAAACAGCTTGCTCAGTAGCTGTATTATCCAACGCAGCCCATGATAGTTTGTGAACTTGGGCCTCCCTACTCTTCAGCAGCTAATGAGGAAGTTTAATGAGGATCTCTATAGTCTGGCTGTCCAACTATGGGTGTTTCTGAGCCCTGAACTCCACACAGCTGAATCAGTGCCTTGGCTTGGTGCTGTTGAGGGCAAGAAGAGCTGGATTCTCACATAGGTTCTTCATTTGTATAACTGCTCTCTATACTCTAAAATTCTCTAGAGAGTAAACTATAGTCCCACTACTATTCTGTGTATAAAATTCTCTTTAGTTCTTGCTTTGAAAGAGCTTTCTGGCTTATGTTTACAGTTAGTTGAGATATTGGTGAAAGATTAGACCTATAAAAATCAAACTCTCAGTTTTATTATTCATGAACACTATATTAGAGGGTGCAGCTTTAATGTATGGAGTTCCGAGCCTTCTGGCATAGCCCTGAATGGGATGGAGGTTCTGAGTGGTAAGCCTCCTTTTGAGGGCAGGGGTATGATGGAGCTTGCTCTTCTTAACTCACTGCCTCATAGAAAGACTAAACTGTTAAGCACCTCTGCCCTGTAAAGAAGGTGCTAGGCCACTCATGCCCAGATTTTCTTTCCAAGTCACCACTTGGGAGGAATTCGGAGGAGAGAAGAGAGTCCAGTAGTGTTTATCCAGGACAGTCCTGGAAAGCTGTGCACAGAGGAAGTGCACCTGTCTCACAGCTGTTAATGTAGGACATCCAGGTGTGGTGGTACATATCTACAATCTCGACACTTGGGAAGTTGAGGCAGGAGGACTGCTGTGAGTTCAAGGCCAGCGTCAACTGCATGGTGAAACCTGTCTCAAAAAGCCAAAAAAATGCTGGAAATTTAGCTCAGTGATGTAAGTGCCTGCCTTGCAAGAACGCAGTCGTGAGTTCAATCCCCAGTACCAAGAAAAACCCAAAAGGACCACAAAAATTACTTTTCCAGGGCTGGGGATTTAGCTCAGCGGCATAAGCGCCTGCCTTGCAAGCAGGCAGTTGTGAGTTCGATCCCTGGTACCGATAAAAATAAAGAGAAAAAAAAAAAACCCAAAAATTACTTTTCCATCTATAGCTTGAGTTTAGATGAAGCACCTATAATAAAAGACAAAGACAGATTAACAAGAGAAATATATACAAGTTTGTTTAACATGTTTTATATGATGTGGGAGCCTTTTATAAGGAAATTAAGCCCCAAAGAAACTGGGAAAGCTAAGTTGCTCACCTCTCCCTTTATTGCCATTGGATCAAACCCTCTTTTGTATGCCTATCCTTACCTGTGACCGTCTACTCTTTACCCAGTTTCCCCCTGCCCTACATGAGTCAGTATAAATTATGGTTCTCAGAGAGTAGAGATAACATATCCAGATAAGGAATTGAAAATAGCATTGGGAGTCTGCGATTTGGTTATTTAGGACCATAATTTCAGTAGAATCAGGACCATAATTTCAGTGGAATCAGTATCTTAAAATAAATCTTTGATTACAGCTTTTGAGGCAGAGGCTCTTGGAACCCGTGGAAAGCAGAAAGTGTCTCTGGATGTACTTAGCAAAGAATCCAGCATTTTTGTGTGCTCTTGCTCCCTCAGTCCATAGTTACCCCCCACCCACATTTGTATTTTCAAAAAAATATTCTGTGTTGACTATTTTATGGGGAACATTACTTAAATGCTGCAAATGACTAGATTTTTTTCTACTTCAATTTGAGGTTTTCTTAAGAACAACTTCTTAGAAAATATTGCTTCAGATTTTCTGATCTTATTTTTATTCATTCTGTCTTCCATTATGACATACATACCTCCATTCTGAACATTGCAACTTGTCTGGTACTATAGTAATTGATTAGATAAATGAACAATTTATTAAATTCCTTTAACTGTTTCATACCTGACAGCACTGAATTATTGAAAGCTATTTAGAATATTTACAAAATGGTGGTACTAAATAGTTGGTAATTACTTGAAACTTTAGTGTCTCAGGCACTACTCTGGGTACATTTTGTGTACAATCTGTGATATGGACACTTTACTAGATTCATTTACAGATAAGGAAACTGAGTACTAGGAAAGAGAAATGACTTGCTATGACCATGTTTAGTTAGGAGTGAAGTCAGGAAATGAATAGATTGATCTGTTAACCAGACCTGAAATACTTATCTACTATAGTAAATGTAAATTTTTTAAAAATAAGCTTATTAAGTTATTAATAAGAGAAGAAGTAGAAGTGGAATGAAAGAGTAGCACTGTCCCGTATTGCCAAATTTTAAAATTATTTTTATTTTATTTATTTATTTTGGTATAGGACATCGTATCCAAGGCTTTGCTACCTAGTTATAGCCCCAAACCCTTAAAAAAAATTCTTTTTTAAAGTTTGAGGCAGGGTCTCAGTAAGTCACTAAAATTGGGCTCAAACTGCCATTCTTCTTAGCTTCCTGTAGTGCTGGGATTGTAGGCATATACCACATGCCCAGCTGGTTTTATATTTTTAATTATTTTGTTTTATTTTATTTTATATCAGGTGGACCAGCTCATCATACTGCTTACTCATTTGCTGCATCCATGATATTGAACCTTTTATTTTTCTCTTATTTTTATTTTATTATTATTAATTTTAATGAATTGATTTGTGATACTGAGGATCGAACTCATGACCTTGCATTGTGCTTACCAGGCAAGCACTTGAGCTGCAGAGTTAAAGCTCTGGCCCATGTATTTTTTTAAAAAATAAGACTAAAATACACAATCTTCCTTAAATTAGTGTATTTCTAAATTAGAAATGAAGAGTCTTCACCTTAATGAGGATGTATATTAAGAAAGGCCCTTGGGCAAGACTCCGGAGGTCTAGAATAGTCTAGAGTATGTGGGCTAGAGTATGTATGGCCTTTGGAAAGATGGCATTATTGTTGCTTTGTGTAGGAGAAAGTTCACACAGTCTGTGTATAGTAACAGTTGCCTCTGTTTCTCTGTCAAATGGGAGAGCATTTGAGCATTTCAAACATGGGGAAGGACTCAGGGAGCTTAAGAACTCTGGAGAAAGGCAGTGCTGCCTTCAGTTTTTCAATCCAGGATCTTTTCATTGCATCACTTGACACTCAAGAGGAATGCTGTCTTAATAGTCTCTTGCAACGTACTTGGTTATTGTCAAATAGCTCTCTTCATCACATCAGTACAGGCTGGTTGGACAGGTGTGATGTGACCAAATTTCTGGGCCTGGAAACCAGGCAGAACAGTTTATACTTTCCTGACAGGTGTTCACAGCAGTATCATGCTGTTTTTTTGTGTAAAATTCATCCTGGCTTCCAGGATGAATTAAAGTGGAATTAGTATTATTTGATGATTTGAACCCACATCAGACTTGAGTCAGAAGCTTTGGGAGCTCAAGGCCTAGCAGTCTCATTTAGTAAGGCCTCCAGCTGAGTCTGCTGTACCCAAATTTGAGGACCATGGACTTCAAACAGTAGGAATAAGGAAAGCGTTCTTAGAGAGTGTTTCACAATTCAGACCTGACATAATCACATCTCAATTCATGTGATGACAGTGCAAATGGAGAGGAACAGGTGTCTCTGAGAGATGTCTGAGAGAAATTCTGTCTAAGATTAAGGGTTTAGAATACTTGTTAGCACTGATGTTTTGGGGTGTGTGGGTGTGTGTGGAGGTGGCTGTTTCTTAGTGAACCACTTAGAAGGATTGAGTTTACCGTGTTTTAGGTTAGGCCTTGCTTTTGTTTGTCCCTCTAAGCTGGGACAGGCATGATATGTCCTCCCAGATAATAATGTGGCCAGCTGAGATGCAGAGGCAGTTGTTTGGCTGGCAAGAGCACCAGTATCTGTTCACAGCTCATTTCCTGGTAATAAAGGATGTGCTGTAACCTTACAGAGAAATTGTGGGACTGAAGCTAGAGATCAGGTGGGAGGCAAGAGGGACAGAAGGAAGGGCTGATTAGAAAGGGAGTGGGATTTCTGAGGCACCGTACGGTGCTTCCTTCTATTCTTAGAACAAAATCTGTCTCCTCCACCTTTATGACTTTAGCCTGTTTTCAGTCCTCATTTTCTCCCACTCCCTACCGTGCTCACTAATTTCTAATTAGAACTCCTCTGCTCCCAACCTAGGAATTCTCATGGCCGACTCCATTGTACAGCACTCAGAGCTTACCCTTTTGGAAAGCTTTCTGTGACCCTCCTTAATTATGTTGGCGCTCTGTTCATGTTCCCATCATTGCTCCTCAAATCAGGTTCTGTCCCAGACTACTCACCCAACCTAAGAGATCTTAGTTACTGACCTATTTGTGTAAGTCTGCTTTCTTTTCTTCGTGGGCCCCAGATCCAGTGTGTCTTGTTTGTTGCTGTAGGACTAGCACTTGGACAGATATGTTGTCTGTAAGAATTAGTTGAATGAATTCTAGGGAAAGATTGCTGGGGCAGTAGGAGAAGCCAATCTTTAGACTCTGGGCCACCCATGAGAGGTGGGAATGAAACAGGATGAATCCAAGAGACCGTGTACTTTTTTTTTTATCATGGGGAATTGAATCCAGGGGCACTCACCCACTGAAATACATTCTTAGTCTTTTTAAAATTTTGTTTTGAGACAGTCTCACTAAATTACCTTTGCTGGCTTTGAACTACAATATTACTGCTTCAACCTCCAGAGTAGCTGCTATTACAGTCTTGTGCCATTGTACTTGGCTTTCATAGCTGACTTTTTAATGACTGAGATTATCAAACCTTCATGGAGTGAGTGAGTACAGGAAAACTTCCCTTTGCTGCTATCTTAGGAAGTGGCAAAGTTTGAATTACAGCCTTTCTTTCTTCAGAATCCACATACATACTGCCTTGGATAGCATGCTAATAGTGAAAGTTTTAACAATTCTTTGTATTTTTTTCTTGATCTTTAGTTTATCTTCAACCAAGGTGGATCTCAAGAGTGGTCTAGAAGAATGTGCAATGGCATTGAACTTATTTCTAAGTAACAGATTTACAGATGCCTTAGAATTGCTTCGTCCATGGTAATTATTACTTTTAGATAATTTTTTTCATATAGTTCTTTGATATCATGCTTATAAGTTAACTTACCTGTTTCAATTTAAATATTTATAAGCTAACAAGGTTGAGTCACCTTACTACTGTTCAGCTTTAAAGTTATTAAGGAATGTCATTTCAGGATCCCTCCATTTTCCTAAGAATGATTCAAATTTATTCTTTATGGTGGAGTGGTACTTTATTGTGCACACTTACCACATTTTCTTTATCCCATTCATCTGTTGATGGGTGTATAGGCTGCTTTCATAACTTAGCTCATAAAACTTGTGCTAATAAATATAAAGTAGATATGCATATATCATTGTATTGTGATATCTTTGACTATTTGGAGAAAATACCCAGAAAAGGTATACCTGGATCAAATGGAATTTCTATTTATAGTTTTTGTGGAATTTTTACATTGATTTCCATAAGAAGATGGATGATTCTTGAGACCATGATACTAAGTAAAATAAATCAGACATAGAAGGCTAATGTTTCATGATATCTCTTAGGTAAGAAACTCCCAATATAAATCATTTAAAGAAAGTAAAAGAGAGATAATAGGAAACAGAGAGATTTTATGATTATGGGAAGGAATCTGAGGAGGGAGGGATGAGGAATGAAAGGGAAAGTGACATTATTAGGATGCAGTATGTGTATTATGTGATTATTTTTCTTTTTACTAGTACATGTTTGTAGTACAGAATGATTATATTTGCTGCTAGGAGCTTGTACATGTGCATTGCACATCTTCATTCTTTTTTTGTCCCCTACCCTGCCTCTCCCTCCCTATTCCTTCCATCTCTTGCTCCCCTTCCCATTTGCAAAATCTGTATATCCGTTTTTCCCGTTTCTTTTTTAAAATCATCTTTTCCTCCTTTATCTCTTGTTCTTCTTTCCATTTGAAAATTATCTCCCTGCTTGCTATTATCTTTCTTTTATATTGCCCTGTATTTATAATTTGAGTTTCTCATATAAGAGAAACCATGTGATATTTAAGCTTGTGTGTCTGATTTAGTTACTTAAATTATGTAATTATTATATATTACTAACATATACCAATAGAAAAAGAACAGGAATTAGAATAAAAGGGGATCTGTCATTTCAAATTTAACAAGTAGAAAATTTCTGATTCTCATATTGTAATACCATACTTGTTCAAATATTGTCATGTGTTATACTCTTGTAGGTCAGTTTTTTTTTTTCTTTCTTTTTTCTTTTTCCTTTTTGTCTTTTTTTTTTTTTTTTTTTTTTTTTGAGACAGGGTCTTGCTATGCAGTTCAGGCTGGCTTTGAGCTCACTTTGTAGCCAGGCTGGTCTCGAACTTCCAATGATCCTCCCACCTCAGCCTCCTGAGTGCTGGGTTTACAGGCATGAGCCACCATGCCTGGCTTCAGTTTTATTTTCATGAGTGAAACATTGTATGTAATTTCTCTTAAATATCATTGAAAAAAGTTTCCTTTGAAATGAGAACTAGAAGATGCTAACCTTGGTACTAAAAAGAAGATAATAGAAATTTTATTGAGATCTCCTACTTATGTGATAAATAAGCTAAGCAATTTAACTTCAATTGATAGTAACTGTCAAATTTTCAAACTGGTCAACAGAACGTTAGCTCAGGCAGCCAGATGTGGTGGCATGCTTGTAATGCCAGCATTCAGGAGGCTGAGGCAGGTGGATCACTGTGAGCTCGTGATCAGTTATAGTGAGTTCAAAGCCAGCCTGAACTGTGTAGTGAGACCTTGTCTCCAAACAAACAACAACACACAAAGACACACCACACAAACAAACTCAACCTACTTAGTAGCTCTCACTTTGACCACAGTCATCAGCTCCACTATGTGTGACCGTAGCTTTCACAAATTATCTTATTTTGTGCCTTTGAACATAGTCATTTTCTTAGGTGAAGCTTAGAACTCATCTCATAAATTTCTAGACAATTACTTGGGCACACAGGTGGGGAACCTGATTTGAATTAATTTATCTGCTGAGGAGCTTGTAACTCTATTAAGATTTGGAGTAGCAGTGATCATGATTAGTCAGTTAATATTTCAGATGTTAAGAAAAAAATGATAAGGTAGATGGTATAGCCATGGTATAAGGGAAATTGTCCAATGTTGTCTCCTGACATTCGTTTACAACTTCTATTTTCCTAGCCTGTCTCATTTGTCCTTTCCTTTTTTAGTCCCTCAAACTTCTGTCTCTTCTTTTGACTCTCTGCTATCTTCTCCATTTACTAGTTCTCCCTCTATTTCTTCGGCTGTCTTCTTCTCATTTTATCTCTGATTTTCCCTTATTTATTTTTATTCAAAAAAGTCTCCTTTTGTCTTCCACTGATAGTCATCTAGTCCTAATATGAAAAATATGAATGAAAAAAAAAACTAAGCTCTGTATTCAGTTATTTTATATTGTCTTTTTATTTATGCCTGAGTCACTGCTAAAATATGTTTTTCCAATTGAATCTATTTTTTCCTCTTGCAAGAATTTACACTTAAAAACGCGAAGTTGGGAACCACAGTTAATGATTAACTTTGGTCAGCTTTTATTCCTTGTGGTTCATTTGAATAGGCTATTCAGTGGCACTGCCTATTTACCCAAGGATGCTTAGTGTGTTCCATGGGAAAAGAACGGTGTGGGCTGTCACTTGTGTTTGTATTATACTGCAGCAGGCTCTTGTGCATTAACATTTAAGTTAAAATCTGAAACCCTGTAGTAATTTTTTGGCAGTACTGCAGATTGAACCCCGTATGTCTGGAGCACGAGGCAAGCACTGTACCACTGAGCCATGTCCTTGTCCTATGTGCTGATATTTTAAACATTATAAATAACATAAAAAGTTTCAAAACAAAGTGGTTATGCTTTCACAACCTGGGAATCTGCCGTATGTTAGAATGAATACCCTTAGGTTCCTGAAGCTGTTTCTCACTGATAAGTTGATAATTTGAATTATCGGGACCGGTAAACAGGAATCTCAGTGCAATTAGACCAGATACAAGGTTCGAGGTTCTCCTTGGTCCTTCATGGCTGATCTAATTATAGAAATCTTGCTTCCCTGTTGGTCTTTTGGCTGGAGAGAAGAGGGGGAGTTTTAAATGAAACTTTTTCTTTCAAAAAAGATGTCAGAATCTGTCACAAGATCCATTTACCCCAGCCTTTATTTTAGCATTTATTTTATATTTTGAGATGGTACACTGCCTCATGTTCAACTGGAAAAAACTGGTTTGCTTTGAAACCTTTCCTAGGAAATGAATCCTCAGGCTGCCCCCTTGTGCTGAACAGGGAAAAAGCATGCTGTCTACTTTGTGTTTCAGCCTGGAACATTTGTGTGTGAATTTAATAACTGCAAAGTCCTTTGCTTCCGGAGTTTCTAAGAGCATGCCTTTCTCAGTCTGTATTTCAGTGACTGTGGTAAAGAAGTGAAGAATACTTCTGTGAAAGTCAGGGCATGAATTTACTAGAATTTTCTATGATTAGTATCTGACAAAACCTGGAATGTTTCTTCTTTTTTTCCTGTTGAATTGAAATGAACTAATTTCCTATGTTCTCCCCAGGGCCAAGGAGAGTATGTACCATGCTTTGGGCTATAGTACCATTGTGGTGTTGCAGGCTGTCATGACCTTTGAGCAACAGGACATTCAAAATGGCATTTCTGCCATGAAGGACGCCTTGCAAACCTGCCAAAAGTATGACTGAATCATTAAATATTTGAGATAAGACTTCAGATCCCTATGCCTGTGTGATAAAAGGGGTACTTGTTTGCCTGACTGAGAGCTCCGTGGTTGAGGTTGTACAGAGCTACAGTAAATAACTTCAGCTTCAAACCTTCTTGCAGTTTCATTTAATGTAATTCAAAAAAATTCTTATCAGGAAATGTAGTATAATTCCTGTTTGGCATCTGTATAGTCACTTTTTTTTTTGGTACAGAGACTTAAGTCTAGGATCCCCACACTGAGCTGTATTCCCAGCCCTTTAAGTTTTTTTTGAGATAGGATCTTTTAAATTTCTCAGAATGGGCTCAAATTTGCAATCCTCCTGCCTCAGCCTTCTGAAGTGCTGGGATTACAGGCATGAAGACCCTCTTCCCCTGACCTTTCTACTTTTTTTGATATCTTGGGACTTGAGCTACAGAGGAAGGTTTCAGTGGGTTCAGCTGTAAGCACCTGTTAAGGGGCTCCTGAGATAGATGAGATTTAGTAGTACTGTATGCCTGCCAAGTCAAGCAAGGAACGTATTTGTTTTATGTGGAAGATACTACATAGTCAGAGGAGAATATTTTATTCACCTAAGATGGTCATATTTGGACAGTTTTGATTGATGAAATTGTGATAGGTTTTTTTTTAGTTTTATTTTAAGCTGTATTGTATAGGAAAACCCTAATATAAGCTATTACTAGTATTGGTGGCTATTGACATAGGTAAAATTAATCCTTATGCAACTATGTTGTAAGCTGTTAGAATGAAGAGCATTTCCAAATAGTGCTTTATAATTCCATTTTTTAAATTGGTGGATACCCTCTCTAGATAAATACTGGTTTTAGCTGTAGAGGTTAGAGAAGATCCTTTGTAGGTTTAGCACTCAGTTGTGCATGTGTGTTTGTCCACACATGTGTTTGGGAACATGAATTGAGTGTCCATAGTTGCTAGCCCACGCCAAGAGCTGAGTGTGCACTTTTGGAAGATGGTGGCATCTGCCTGAAGACTTTGGGCTTTAGAGTTCTAGCTGGTGACTCTTTGGTGCGATTGTGACTGATGTACATGTCAAATGAAAATGGGCTTAGTTCGATTTGTTCATATTTTTTCTGTTTCTCATCTTTTGTCTACTCAATGCAGATATAGGAAAAAATTCACAGTTGTAGAATCTTTCTCAAGTCTCCTTTCTCGAGGATCGCTAGAACAGCTAAGTGAAGGTAAGAATCATTTACATGATTAAACTATTTTTTAAAAAATTCAGTTCTCAAGTAGATAAGTGGAATGTCTTTTTCTCTTCCCTGCCATACTTATCTCAAACGTAAGCATTATTAATGGTTGATTTTGAAGCTTTGTGGGCTTTTCAGTGTATGCATGCAAAAGTACACATAAAGGATACATAGGGCTTTCGTTGTTGTTCTTATGTTGCTTACTTTTTGCAAGCATGCAGTCATATCGGACCCGTTCCACAATATGGTGTTCTCTGAGGTCAGTGCAAACTATTGTACCTCATAGTGTTTTGACAGCTAGGTAGTAATAGTACACAGGAAGGGTATATCATATCATATCTTATTTGCTTTTTGTCTATTGGAAGACTGTTACATAGTTATTTTTTCAGTTACAAATAATGCTGAACTAAAATTCTTTTATCTATATTTTTAAGCATTTTTCAAATATTCCATAGGATAGAGTTCTAGGTATAGAATTACTAGAATAGACAGTTTGAAAATTTGAAATATTTACAGGTATTGCCATTTTTTCTATAAAAATTTATGCCATCATACACACACACACACACACACACACACACACACACACACACACACACAGAGTTTGTTTGTTACCAGAGATTGAACTCATGACTTTGCGCTTGCCAGGCAGGTGCTTGTGCCGTGATCTAAACCCCGCATTTTATATTCTTACCATCCTTCTATGAGAGTTTCAGTTTTCTACATCTACTAAAGTTTTTTTCCCAAAAATAAAAGTAATTTTGATACCTTTTAAAAAGTAAAAATGCTTCACAGAATGGAAAATGTTCAGTTTGTGGACATTTAGGAAAATCAGGAATCAAAAAATGTCTAGAGATTACAGTAAAAGTTTCAGGATCAGCCTTGTTTTATTAATGTGCTCTAGTAGGAAAGGTTTACAGGAAGGAGCATCCAGGTTATCCTACAGAAGAAAATTTTCTAGCGTTCCAAGAGAATTTAAGCATATGTTTTCACTGTCAAACTTGTCCTCTGGAGGAAACACAGAACCCTAGGAGTAGATCTGTTTAAAGCTAGAATCATTCTGGAAACTATTGTCAGAGGCATTCTTACTGGTCAAGGAAAGATGCGACACATTTTAAAGTGCATTTTATTACAAAGTTTTATTTCATTAAGCAAATGTAGTTAGCTTATTATGGAAATTAGAGAACTTGGGACCATTTGCATGGTGTGAGCTTAGAATGTCGATTACTGAGAGGGTTATAACACATTTTACATTTTCATGACTTTCTCTAGGAGGGCATAATGTTGACTTCCAAACCATGGTAGCACTAGCTGATACTTCATTGGTCACTCTAGGCAGCTGAAACCCTCTTCATTTTCTCCAGAAATTGCCTTTATGTATCTATAAGAATAGAAATTGATCTTCAGGTCCTGAGTGTGAGGGTTGTGTGTTTATGCTAGAGGAATGAGATGTGCCTTCCTCAGATATTGTTACAGTGTCAATATATACCTGTCTGATGGGAGAAGAAAAGGAAAATTGGCATTAGCAGGCCTCAAGTTCTCTAAAGAGGGTCAGTGGAAGGTTAAATAAGGCTCTCAGAAAGTCTGACTCTTCCACTTGTATTCTGTTTTCTGTGTCTTGCTATATGGCTTCTCTCCTGGCCCCGTGATCCTGACTTACTTTTTCTTTGTAGTATGAAAGTGACATTGACTTTTTTTTTAACCTTAGTTTTAGGAAAAATGACATCGTATTTTTTGTGTGAATGTAAATAATAATACCTTATTTTAAAAAGATATGATTGAAAATAGGATCAAATGTATGCCTTTTGAAACCATTCCCAAAAATGTGAAACTAAGGAGGTCAGGGCAAGTGGAGGGAGTTGGTGAGGAGTGATGAGAGTTCGTTATATGCGGGTACACATCTGTCAGAGTGAAACCCATTCATTTGCATAAGCAGTATGTACTGACATGGGGGAGCAAAATAAACAGAAGCCACAGTCTCAAAACACATAGTTTATAAGATACAGTTCAAAATTATTTGGAAAAACAAGAATAAGGAAAATCTCAATTTGAATGAGAAATTAAATAGATAAATCCTAACACCAAATGATATAAATATTGAGGTTATCTGACAAAGCTTTTAAAGCAACTGTCACAAAAAGTGTCCCACAAATAACTATGAACATACTCTTGGAACAAATGGGAAACTAGAAAATCTAGGCAATGGAAGACATAAAAGAAATCTAAAGAAAATTTTAGAATTGAAAAGTACAATATCCAGGATTTTTTAAAAAAAAAGCTCAGTAGATGGTTCAATATCAGAATGTAGATTAGAGGAAAACCAATGTAAATTACCCAGTTTAGACATCAGAGAGAAAATAGGTTACAAAATGAACAATTTCAGGAAACTATGACAAAAAGCTCTCACATTCTTGTCACTGGAGTCCCAAAAGAACAGAAGAAAGTCAAGACTGAGAAATATTTGGGGAGACAGTGTCTGAAAAACCCCCTGAATTTGTTGAAAGACCAAACTATACAGATTCAAGAAGCTCAATAAAACCTGAAAAGGATAAATGCAAAGAGCGTCTCTTTCAGACACATCATAATCAAAATGCTAAAGACTAAAAGAAAAAAAGTTTTATCAAATGAACATGAGATACGGAATTTTCATATTGGCAGCTAGATCTTAAATAATACAATTTTAATGGTTTTATTTTGTGAAACCTTCCATAATATGTAATCTTTTCCAAAAATTAAATGGAATTTCTCAGTTCTTTTCCTCTGCCCAGTCTTCTTTCCCCTACTGTCACGCAAGATTCTTTATTACAGGTGTTGTTCCCATTAAATCACCTGCATGCAAAATGAAAACAAATACAACAGAAAAGCAAACTTTCTTGGTGTTTTCTTTAACATTAACAAATCTAATCTGTGTATCCTGCTCTTTGTAAACCAGGAACTGTTCAGAGAGAATATATAAGTGGCCAGGCTCACCTGTATATCAGAGTAGGATTTAAACTTGATCTGCTTTTTCCTAAACCACAAGTCTTTCCACTGAACCCACACTTTCTCCTGCAGGTGGGTACAAAATATGTTGCCTGTGTGTGAGGGAAATGTTGAATTATTCCTATGTTAAAAATCTTGAAAAGAAGTGATACTATGTTATCTGTTTATAATTGTCTTGAATAAACACTTTTGGAAATCTGGACTAAAATAAAAAATTACTTTTTACTAATCAAACATAAATATGTTTATTTAGACTTTATACCTAAAAGCTGTGCTTAGTGAACATTTCAGTGCATCATGCATTTATTTCCTTCAGAGGACTGGGAAGTACATGTACCAACTCCCACAATAAATGTAGTCAGTATGTACCACGAACATGTAGTAATAAAAAAACAGAGCTATTATGGCAAGTGTCTACTCATAAGTGCCCAGTGACTAACTTTGAGAACTAAGAAACTGTTCAATGTAAATCAATCACAAAGAAATGTAAGACTTTTATAAATTAAGTTACATTTTATTTCCAGTGATTTTGGCTGTTACTACAACCCAAACAGACTTTGTGTTCAAGGGAGCATGTCAAAACATTGTAGCTTTAGTATGTGATTTGTTTTCCTCTTGGTAATTTCCATTTATATCCTTGAGTGTTTGGTTGTCTATGGAAGTTGAATATATTTCATTAAACTGTTAGGAGCTTGCTCTTCTCTCCAGGCTGGTGGATTGCACTGAATGATTGTTTGAAATAGGTTTTGAATATGAAGAATATATACACACAGCATACAGAGTTCATACTTGCATGCTTTTTATCTTTGCTTTCCTGTTATATCCTCAATGCTGGCTTCACGTGTTACTAGCTTATCCTGATTTCCTCAGCCTCTGCTCAGATCTCAGGAAGGTCTCCTGAGTAAAGCCGAGAGTCTGGAATTCAGGGTCCTTCATAATTTAGCCCCAGCTGACGTTTCTAGCCTCATTGCCCTTTCCTCTCTTGATACATCTTATACTACATCCAACGGAGCCCTGCTTCCCTTTTCCAAAGGAGCCTGGATTTTTTTGCTCCATGCTTTTGTTTCTGCTGTCTTAACTGGCACTGACTTTATCTTCTCTGTATGTGTCCCATGCCAGCAATCTGTTCCCAAGCCAATTTTCAGAAATAATAACCCCAAACAGCTCTTACTTCGTTAATCTAGGAAGAGGTTATTCAGGTGACACAGTAAAAATAAAACCACTGAAGACAATGAGAAAATTAAGACACATTTTGAGGGGAGCCATGGTTGAGTGTGACCATGACTCTTCAGGCTGTTGGTAGCATGTATACCGGTGGCTGTAAGTCCTCAAGTTCTGCCTGGCAGGGGTTTAGTTCTGTCTGTGAGCATGCTGTTGCCTATCTTATGTCCACAATTGCTTCTTTGTAAATTGAATATTTGGAATATGAGCAAGGCAAGAAGCTGAACTCATGTATGAGAGTCAGTGGGTTGTGTGAGTGTAAATGAAAGAGCATGTTTTTATCTGGTTTGATTAACATTTCAGTTTTTCATCAGTTATTTTTTATAAAAATGTTTTATACTCTCAACTTGTATCAGAAAGCACTGACATGGTCTGAGGGCAGTAATCCTTATAGCTAGCATTTACCAAGTATTTACTATGTACCTACAGTGCTTCATTTAATTCATCTTCATTTGATTCATTCAAAGTAGTGAGATTATTAGTGAACTATAAATGCGGAAACCAGCAGAGAGAGGGAGAGTAGCTTATGCAAGGTCCTATAGCTAACACATGGCAGAGCCTTTCCTTCAGGCTCATTTACCTAACTAATCAAATTACCTAAAACTGGGATAGTGCTAACTCTGTGCCAAGTCGTCTTTTGCCTGCAGAGTCCTGACTTGGGAATGCAGGGTGGTGCTTTTTCAGAGAGTCCTTCAGAGTTGCTGCTTTCCTTTTAGATTAATGTGTGTAGTCACTGTCATGATTCTAATAGATTAGAAGCTAGAACTCATAAATTTAATGTAGTTTCTTTAGTGTTTAGAACTGTTAAATTTTTCATGTAACTGTTAAAAAGTGGTTTTCTTTTTAAATTTGTGTCTTTTTGTTTGTTTTTGAATTAAGATCTTGCTATGTAGTTCAGGCTGCACTTGAACTCGCTATTTATTCCAGGCTGGCCTCAAACTCTCAGCAGTTCTGTCTGCGTCAGCCTCCTGAGTTCTGGGAATACAGGCATGAGCCGCCACACTTGGCTTAGTTTATCTGTCTTTCTTTCTTTTAAAGCTTTTGAATTTTGTTTTCCTTTTATGAGTTGAATTTGGGTTTTGATGCCAAGTATCTGACTCTGTGATAATCTTTGAATGGGAGCAATAGACCTTCCCTGAACATTTCACACATCATAGGGAAATCTTACTGTAGGACCAAGAACAGGTTACTATTCCCCTTTTTGGAAATACCAGTGTCTAGGTTTTTGTGTCTCTTTTGGGCTTATTTATCTACTGTCTTTGGAACTTTTCAGAGCAATTACTGTGAAAATTGTATTTTCCTTAATATAATTGTATTTGTTTTTAATAGAGGAGATGCATGCCGAAATCTGTTACGCCGAGTGTCTCCTACAGAAAGCAGCGCTCACATTTGTGCAGGTAATGAACATTTGGCTTAGAATACTGCATAAAACTGTATGGCTCATTCTGTGTTGGTGCTCTAGTTCTTTTAACTTGAGTGGTAATGAAAGGTACATGTTACTTTGACAAATTTTCACTGATAAAAAAAAAATCAAAAGAGCTTTATTCCTACTCAAATACATAGACTCTGTTTCCAATTTTTAAGTCTACTGGGAATCACATTCTTTTAAAGAAATTGCCTTGCAAATGTCACACCTAATTCAGGATGCTTCTCTGTGCTTCCCTGAGAGTATTCCAGTCTGCCCTCGAAATGGTAGAGGACTGCTCACAGGAGTGGCCCACGCAGAGAGAGTCTTTAATTTATGGCCATTCCTTTCTTGTGCCCTGTGCTGCAGCCAAGCTCAGTGAAGCGTGCGTAGATGGGCACACTGTCATGTATCCTTCAGGTTTTTCTTTCCTCTCTCTATCTGTTCTCATTCTCTTTTCTCGTTTTTATTTTTTCCTTTAGAAGAAGAGTTTTTAAAAGTCACTGAATAAAACAGTGAATTATTTTTATGAGACACTTTAATTTCACTTCTAGGAACTGTTACCTCATTATCTTGTGTATGCATATTCCACTACTTCAGAAACAGATTTTCACATGGTGGCCTCATGTGGTAGTGATAGCTACGTGAGTGGGGTCGAGATTGTAAGGAGGCAGCAGGAAATATGGCATTAAGATGGAAACTATATTAAGTTCAGTCTTTTCAGTTGTTTTGAGAGTGACTTCTGTTCTCTTCTAGAAATTCACCTCTTAGGTTGGACTCTGGTTCAGTAAATTTGGATCACTGTGGTGTTTCCTAAGACCTTGTGTGTTACAAGGCTGATTGATGAGAGCAGTCAGAGCATGGAGTAGCATATTATACTGCTGGTCACAGAGGCGTATTTTTTTTCTGACATATTTTCCAAATAGGGATTTGATAGCCAAATATTAGATTGAAAAACTTGTGTCTGGTGACTTCCAATTAAACATCTAAAGATATCTGTGATTTTCATTACTTCATCATAATCCCATATCCAGTCATTTGATATTCAGGCTTTAATCTTTTAAAGATTTCACAGCTCTGTCTTTTCCTGTTTATTCAACTAGAGGTACTGGGCACCTTTTGCCTGGACTGGACTGTACCGCAACCTCTCGACTCTAATTTATTTTTACCCTCATCGCATTTTTCATTCTGCAACAGAGTACCCTTTCAGAAGTGGGACTTTGTCAGTCTTTAGTAGCTGTCATCAACTGTGGCAGTGTTCTGTATCAGAATATCACAAATAGGGAAGACATTTTGAACTGAACTGGGGCCTCCCACCAAGCCCCCGCTTTTCTACTTACGTGTTCTCAGGTGCTGCTGACAGGGGCCTGCTTTATACTTGAGCAACACAGGTAGAGGTGGTTTTCCTCCTTGTTGGCCACTCCCTCCTTTGCAGTAGATTCTTCCGCAGTGTTGATATATATACAGGGGTGACCAGGGACACCATCACACCTATGCTTCCCAGTCTTGCCCTGAGTTTTCTTTCCTTGCTTATGATGTTTGCCTCTGCTTTGCCTCCTTTGATTTGGTGACTTCCACTACTTTTTTTGTGCTTTAAATTTGGGTACTTCCAGGAGGCTTTTCTGACCCTCTCAATGCTCTCGTTCTGTGCATGCCTCCATCCCTGTGTATGCCTCCATTCCTTAGCACACTGCATTGCTTTGGTTTGTTTGTACGATGGTAAGGTCCCTAGCGTGGAATAGGCATTCTAAAAATGTTTGGTAAATCATGAAATGTAATACTCTTATTAGAGTCATTTTTTAATCTAACTAAAGAAATTTCATTTTGTTGTTGTTACTGGTTTTTGAGACAGAGTCTCGGTATGTCGTTCAGGCTGGCTTTGAACTCACTGTATAGCCCAGGCTGGCCTTGAACTTGCAATAATTCAGTAGCCTCAGCTTCTCAAGTGCTAGGATTACAGCCATGTACCATCACACCTGGCTCTGAAGAAACTCTTTCCTGGTTAGTATTGGAATTTGTGCAGTTGTGCGAGTCCTTAAAATAAGAATATAAATATTTGAGTAGCAGATGTAGTATTTGCTGATTCTTATGATAATCAGAATATTAAATATTTAGCTAATAAAACTATATTCAGCTTTTTTTGTTGTTGTGTTTTTTTTTTCCTTCAGAAGAATGTTCAAGTGCATAGGAAATAAACAGAAAGGAATTTTTCCAATAACAGTAGACTAGAGAAACCATCTCCTTGGAAGTGTGGAACACTGAACTATTTCTATTTAGCACTATTAGAATGACTGTAAGTGGTTATTTAATATAATTTATTAAGAAACTTTCGGGGCTGGGGATTTAGCTCAGTAGCATAAGCACCTGCCTTGCAAGCAGGCAGTTGTGAGTTCAATCCCCGGTACCGATAAAAAGGAAAAAGACAAAAAAAAAAAAAAAAAAAAAAAAAAGAGACTTTCTTAGAATGTTGATGAGCACCAAGCAAAGAGAAGTAGTGATTCCTCCACCTCTGCCCCAGTAAAACAAAATTCCACGTCATTGACAACCATTTCAATATTCAGACCAGATATGTTTGGTCTAGAAATGTTTATGAATGAAATTCACAATGTTAAATAGACCATCTGCTTAAATACCCCGTGAAATAGTCCCTTTTACTCAGTAGAGAGAAAACCTTGAATCCTTGAAGTCAACTACTTTAGATTCTGTTGAACCCAGCAGAAAATTGGTCAGTTAGTGATGATATATGGATTTGAACTTCATCAGACTCCTGATTAGTAAGGATTACTTTCTTAGAAACTAAAGTAATGTGGTAATTAAAAATTTCTTTCTCTTTGTTGTTTTCTAACTTTTAAGAATAACAAAAAGACACTTCAAATATAAAGCAAGAAGAATGTGTTAATTTTGAAATTATGTCCTCAAAACATTTTTTCTAATTATACAAATCTGCAACTGTCAGGACAGTTTAATGTTTTTCACTAAGTTCTCTAATTATTAATTGAATTATTTTCAGGATGAAAATATGATCAACTTCATTAAAGGTGGACTGAAAATTAGAACAAGTTACCAAATATATAAGTAAGTTAAAATGCAAAATGTGACTTACACATGATTCTTATGCTTAAAGTACTTTGTTTTTTGAAAGTTGTAAAAATTTAGTGTAACTAGGTGTTTTTGATTTGGTGTTAGTAAAATCATCTTTGATTTTTGATTATTTATTCTGTGCCACAGAACAAAGTTAAGCTTTAATACAGTTTAAAGGCAAAATAGTGGAAAAGAAAATGACATAATTTCTGATTAGATAATTTATCTCAGCTAAGAACAGTTTATACATTTCAAATGGCAGGTGTATTTTGGTACAGATTCTAGAATTGCTCTACCAGTAGACCTTTCTGCATGTATAGTGAGGCTGGTTTACAATGTTTTCTTTATCTTCTTATTTTCTCTATATACTTGCTGATTTTTATCTAGTTCTGTCATTTACTGAGAGTTTTAAAATCTCTTGATTGTCAAAATGGAGTCATGTATTTCTTGCTTTAGTTTTGTCAGTGTTTGCCTTGTATGTTTAAATCCTGTATGTTGTTAAGCATATACATGTTTATAGTTGTTTTAACATTAACATTCTTATTATGAAATTCCTCTTTTAACTCTGGTAATATTCCTTATCTTGAGTCTATTTTTTTCTGATACTTCTCTAGCCACTCGTAGTTTTTTTTTTTTTTCTCTCTTTGGTACTAGAGACCTAAGTGAGGGATGCTTTACCACTGTACTGTACTTTACCCCTTTTATTAAAATTGTATTTTGGGGCAGAGTCTTGCTGAGTTGCCAAGACTGGCCTTGCACTTGCAATCCCCCTACTTGTCCTCCTGAGAAGATAGTATTACAGTCATGTGTCTCTGCGCTGGCTCATAGTTTTGAATAATTAGTCTTTGCATGATATATATTCTTTTAAGTCTGTCATATATTTATGTATCTTGAAGATGCAGAGGGTCGAATACTTGTGATGTTTATACTTAAAACTATTTTTTTCTATTTGTCTCACCTGTCTCCCTACTTCATTGTTTGTGGTTTTTTTGATTTAATAAAAATTTTAAAATTCTAGTGTAATTCTTTGTCTTCTTAATTATAGCTCATTTTTTGAGCAGCCATGGTAGTGATTATATGTGATTTTAAACTTGTTTTAGAGTAATGTTGTACCACTGCACATAAAATATAAAAACTTGGCACAAGTATTGCTTCATTTTCTACTTGTTGTCTTTTACACTATTTCTATGATGATATGTGATGTATTTATGTATATTAAAAATCCCTAATACCATGTGAGACTTGCTTTATAGAATCATGTGTTACAGTTTTATTTTCTTTTATGTTCACTATTTTTAATGTACTTTATACTTGTTTACTTTTAGAATTTAGGATTTCTTATGTATGTCTACTTTCAGCAAATTCCATTTTCATTTGTTTGAAATTGCCTTTACTTTTTTCCTGCATTCTTTTTTCCCCCCTTTTATTTAAAAAAATTTTTTCCCCTTCATCTTCATGGGTGTTTTTTCTCCTTCCAGCGCTTTAAAATTGTCATTCCATTGTATTAAAGCCTCCATTATTTGTGATCAGAAATCAGTTGTCATTTGTGTTATTATTTTCCGTATCCAATGTTACTAACATTTCTCTTGGCTCTTTGAAGACTTGTATCTTTAAATCTCAGCAGTTTGACTTTCTTAAGTCTTAAGTGTGGTTTTGAGAAATTTGCCATTATTTCCCCAAATATTTATGGTGACACCTTAGCTCACAAATGTTTTGGTTCAGAAACAGAAGTGTCTGGCAGAATTTTGTTTTAGTTTGTAAACTGCGGTGAGTGACGAACAAGACTGTGACCATCTTTCCTCACATGAATGTGAACAGTATCCATCTTTCCCATATCGGGCAATGAATTAAGTTCGTGACCTGAGGTTCCGCTGTATTTTCTGCCCAATTCTCCCTGTTTCTTCTTCTTCTGAGACTCCAGTTATAATATTAGTCTGCTTGACCTGCTTACTGTGTACTGATTCACTGTTTGCTTGAAACATGTTTTTGTTTTGAATTTGGACAGTATCCAATACCTGGGTCACTTAGAGTCAGTTTCTATTGACTGCTTTTTCTCTTGACTGTCAGAATGTGTCTGTTTTTGTTTCTTTTTGGGTCAGTAGGTTTTAAAATTGTACTTTAGATATTGAGTTATTGCAGAGCTTCTATATTCTGTTATCCTTTCTCTGAACAATATAGCTTTTTGTCCTAAAAAGCATTTAATTTGCTTAAATATAGACTGCAAACTTTTATTACTCTCAGTGTGACCAGCATCTGAAATCTCTGCTTCTTTATTTTTGCTGTCTTGTTTGTGCTTTTCCTTGGAATTTGCCTAGTGTTCACATAGTATATGGTTGAGTCAAGAATTTGAGTGTTTCCAATCTACGTGGTTCCTCCAGATGTGGGAATTCCCCATTACTATATAGCCACTTTGACAGTCTTGAATTCTGTACTCTGATTTTTAAGCCAATAAGACTTTAAACACTGTGTATCCCACATTGAGTGGACTGGGCATGTGTTCAGGTGTGTTAATCTAACATAAGCTGCCCTGCTATTGCTGGAAACAGGCAAAACTTAGTATTTTAAGAGCTGCTTTTGCCCAAAATCATTTTGTAATGTGTCCCACTCAAATCCTGTAAAGGTGGAGAGAGTTCTTTTAGATTTTGGGAAACTGACATACTGTTTTATATTTTTTAAATTTTTTGTTGTTTTGAGATTGAGTCTCACCATGTAGTCTAGGCGGGCCTCAAGTTGACTATGTAGCCAGCCCTGGGTAGTCTCTTAACTCACGATGATCCTCCTGCTTCAGCCTTTTAAGCTCTAGGATTGCAGGCATGTACCACTGTGCCTGGCTTTCAAGTATTGTTTTAGACGACAGAAAAGGCTAAAGGATTACTTTTTCAATCAGCAGAATTTAAAAAGTTAAAATAATAACAAAAAGAATTCAAAAGTGCTATTGTGTCAAAGGCATATCAGTGGAATGGATCAGTCTTTAAAACAAACTACATGGGTATGTGTGCACATATGTGGTTCTGTACGTGTAAACACACACAGACATTTACTTGGGAATTCAAAGTGTATCTCCCTATAGATCAGTCTCTTTCAAAACAGTGGGAAGAAATAAATATTTTAAACATTTTTGATAAAATTGATTTCATTTTAAGAAAAAAAGACCATTAATACAAAAAATTCCATATAGATTTGATATTAAAATATTTTAAAAGATCATTAGTAGAGAACAAAAGAAATTATTTGATAACACTAAAAACCTTTGAACATTTATTTTTAATTTTTTTCTTTGAAATAATTTCAGAGTTATTACAAAGAATTTTCATATTACTAGTACTCTGCAGAACCACAATACAATTATTAAGGTAAGGAAACCAGCATTGACAGTGTTATCCACTGCCTTTACTCACAAATCTCTAGAAATCTCCTCTGGTCTGAGATCTACCCTAGGATGTTGAGTGTAGTCATGTAGCCGTTAGATTTCCTTACATTTAATCTGAGGAAGTTTCTCTGTTTTTCTTTGTCTTTCATGACTGGCTTTTTTAGTGGGGAGGAGTAACCAGGAGTCAAACTCACAACCTTGCATTTGCTAGGCAGGCATTTAAGCCGCTGAGCCCTGGCCCCTTTACTCTGGCATTTTAAATGAATGTTGGACAGTTATTTCATAGGGCTTCTTTCAATGTCTGTTTAACTTGTTTTTCAGTGACTAAAGTCAGGGTGCAAATCTATATCAGAAATATGGTAGGAATAATATTAGTGGGTAAATGCTGTCAGTTTTAAAGGCCTATTTTTGGTATGACAGAAGACTAGAAACTATGAGAGATTAACTTGATTAAGTAAACTTTCATCATTTTACTATGACAAAAAATGTACCTTGTAAACAATGCAAGTGGAAATATGATGTAAATGGCCCAGGGAAAATGACCATATGGCAAATTCATGGGTTGGTAGGAGTCTGACTTGAATCCTATAACCTGTTGTTGTTCTTATTAACTGAAAGTTGGGTCCGTAGACTTGCTATGTTCAGGTTAAATGTATTTGGCTAGAAAACATCGGAAATGAAGTTTCATGTTTCATATAATTGCATCACATTAGGTGATATTTCTTACTACCTTTTAAAAATGTATTTGTTCAACTGATAAGCAATTCCATTCAATACCAATTTTTATATCTTTGTCATTATTTTAATTTGTATTCCTCTGATTAAGTATTTACTTTTAGGAGATGATGTGAATGGAAAAGAGAGAAATACGTAAATCCCTACTTAAAAATGGATTCCATTCTTGGAGAATGTTCATAAATTGGATTCATTCCTCTCTGACAAAATTGGGTCTTACACAGTATAGCTGTGAAAGTTTTTAACTCATATGTTCATAAATCGAGGACTTACTATATATAGAAAAGAAATTAAAGTGAGAAATTGGAAATATCTGCATGAATAGAGCAGGAAAAAATAAAAAGATTATGTAGCTGTGATGGAATTTGGTTTCTTCTTTCAACCTTTCCTACTAACAAGTTCTAATTTACCTGGTCTATTTTTGATACCCTGACAGTCACGCTGAAATTCAGATCTCTTTGCTGGCAGCTCCTCAGTTCTCAGAGGAGGGGTGGGCTGGGAGGTGTGCATAGCTCAGAACTGCGCACTCTCAGGAGTCTCCTGTAAAATGCTGCTGAGGAGCTGTGAGCATACGGAGCTGTGGCTTTGTGGCGCCTGGCTCATGCTTGTTGATGTGTGGGCCCTCTGTTTTTTAAACTCAGAAAGATTGGTCCTGCTAAACACTGTAAAAATGGGTTTCCCTTTTTTCCTGAATGATTACTACTTTGTAGCTTTAAGTGTAAAGACAGCATAGGATAATCCATTTAAAAATTCTGTAGTATTTTGAGTGATGACATTTATAGTATATAAGCATGAAATTTGATTTAACATTTATTTTTTAAAGTCATAGTAAGCTTATATTATACCTTTTCCTTCAATTCAGAGAATGTCTTTCTATTCTGCATGTAATTCAGAAGAATAAACATGAACAAGAATTTTTCTATGAGTTTGAAGGGGGCGTCAAGCTTGGAACAGGAGCCTTTAATTTGGTAAGAAAGTAATTATACAGAAATCAGAACTTTTGTAGACGAGCCCACAGTTTTCAGTCGTTTTGTATTATATTCAGGCCTCATTCTGAATCTCCACTCAGGTTTGTTAAGTGGCAAAAGTGGGTGAATTTCCCTGTGGTGTTGAACCTGTGGAGGCTTTGGGCAGCCTGTGCTGTAGAGTTTGCCACGTGCTCGGAGTAGCTTTGGAGTACAGTGTGGGAGGTGAGAGCCCTGTGAGGTTTTAGTGACAAGGGATTAGAATCAAGTTCCATTTTCACATCAGAAATATTGTTGCTATGACACTAGAAGCTCTGGGTTTGAAAATAAGTGTGAGTATGTAACTTGAGAAATCATTTTTGGGTGATCTTTGGACAAACGTAAAGTATGAATAGATATCTGTTAAGTTCTGAGCCAGGCATGGTGGCAGAGGCAGGAAGCAGGAGAATTGCAAGTTAGGGTCTAATCTGGGCCACTTAGTAAGACCCTGTCTCAAAATTTAAAAAAAGAGTTGGAGATATAGTTCCAAGTATAATGAAGGTCATAGGCTCAACCCCCGGTACTGGGGGAAAAATTCTTGTCTACCTAGAGATTTAGAAATTGTATTAAGGTTTGATTAGAATTATTAGGAAAATAAAGTAAAGAGAATCATTCCACAAGTGTATGGGCCACCATGACTGCATTGCTATGAGATTATTTTGTGGTGATTAGTGATTGGGGAAGGAGATTGACTATTATCTGTCGAATGGGGCACAATACACATTTGATTATTAAAATCCACAGCATTCATATGGAACACAAGTTATCTTATATTTTTTGTCTATTCAGAGAGTTCTATCCACAAACTTCTTCCCCAGGCTTGCTTGTCACCAGTTTTCAGTTATCTTCATTCCAAATCCTTGATCATCTAGCAAAACAGTTGTCCACAGCGCATGAATCAGTACATATTTGCATATCTGGGCATTTTTGCTTCAAAACAAAGTGTGTCAGCAAGTGCACTGCCACCGGTTCTGCCTGCTGGAAGGCTTTGGGGATGCCCAGAAAGCAGCAGTAGAACCTCAAATGTCCATTTCCAAGCGGTGCCTGCGTATTGTGCAGAACACAACCATTCTTGATTTCTAAGAAAAAAATCTAAATGGAACTTTGTCTGCTGGTGGGCACTGAGGAAGCGTTTTCTTGTCAATGAATTGTTACACATAAAAGTTACTGAGCCAGTATTCCTTACAGAATTATTGAAAGCACAGGCACATTTTGTTGAAAATTAGAAATCTCACTTGTAACTAGAGTTAAAAAATTACGTTTTGCTAACATTGCTGCTTGTTGGGTCTTTATTGTATGCTAAAAATATCTTTCCTTAATATTTTATTAATTCCAGAGTTATTGTCTCGAATTTTTTCCTTTTTAGAAAAAATAAAAATTTTTAAGGTTTATTGTTATACAAGATTAATTTATAAATGCTCATTATAGTATGTGATGATTGAGATGTATCTAGTGGATTAAACTCTATTCTAATTTTTCATATTACTGAAGCATAAAAACTTGTAAATCATTTGTAGTTCACTATTTGTCCCCAATTAAATATACTAACACATAAGTACACTTACATTTCTTTTCTTACAGATGCTGTCCCTTTTACCAGCAAGGATTATCAAATTGCTAGAATTTATTGGATTTTCTGGAAACAGGGTATAAATTTAATTTTATTTTACTCGACAGGGAAGATAAGACATTATTTACTGACCATGAGAACAGTGTAACATGTCCTCATAACTGACATGATAATTGTTGGCAGTTTGTTTCCAGGACAATAAAGAACTATTGGTTTTTGATCATTGATCATATCAAGAGCTAGGCATGGCTTTTTTTTGTTGTTGAAAATTAAAAATCCCTCCTGTCTTACCTAGAGTTAAAAAATTATGTTTTGCTAATATTGCTGCTTGTTGGGTTTTATTATTCTTGTATGCTAAAACTATCTTAATATTTTATTAATTCCAGAGTTATTGTCTATAAAATGAAGAAATTAGGCTAGATTGCTCTAATAGTTTAATTTTAACAGATGTGATAATGTGGGTTAAAATAGTTGCAGTATTTTGGATTTCCATTTGTTCTTTTTTTTTTAACAAGTCTCACTGTACAAAAAAGTGAAGAAATTTGTTTCCCATGAATTTTTTTTGTGTGAATATGTAGCATTAATCATAACACTCAAAACTGTTTTACAAGAGTTGCTGTATCCCAAGAGCTGTCTCTGTCAGTCAAAAAGCAGGTTTTGAAACATAATGAGAACAAATACCAGACATTATGACATTTTTCCTGTTTCTTCCACTGTCCATGTTTTTCATGCTCTTTTTGTGACATGTTCTGTTTTGACTTTATGTTTGTTCGCTGTTATCTTTAATCATTCATCTTTCACCATTTTTCTTTAGTGATTCCCAGTTGCCTCTTGAATAAAGTCCAGACTGTAATATTACTCCAAGGTCTCCATGATCTGATTCTAGCCAGTGTTCTTGGCCTTACTGTTCATACTTTTTATTTTCCTAGTACTTCCTCTAAATTGGTCCATTTACATGCCCAAAACTTACGAATATTTTGAGCCATTGCAGGAATATCAGGGAAAGCCTTACACAGTAGATGGCATTTATCTGAAATATCCCTAAGTTCAGAATCATTTATTCATCTTTCTTATGACACTCACTGTATTCTGAGAAAATTATATGTTCATGTGATATCTTATCTATGTGACAGATGTAGAACCATGTTTGTTCATAGTACCTTTGTGGCCTTCATTTAGATCCCCAATATATTTTAGTAAATTAATACTATTGTAAGAGCCAGGTGTGGTGATGCATGCTTGTCATGCCAGGAGGCAGAGGCAGGAGGATCAGAACCAATTTAAGGGCAGTTTAAAAAAAATATATATATATATATATATATATGTATATATAGTAAGAGAAATGATATAAATAACATTTATGTGAGATGAGCACTACCTTTTTCTCTTCCTAGAGTCACATGAGGTAAAAGAATTTGTGACACTGTCTTATGCCAGTTTAAAACCTAAAGTTTGTTTCTAGTTAGATGCCACCATTATGCTAAGCTCTTAAAAAAATAAACCCCAGTGGGTACGGTGGTGTATGCTTATAATCCCAGCACTCAGGATGCTGAGGCAGGAGAATCGCTGGGAGTTTCAGGTCAGTTTGGCCTGCAAAGTGAGTTCAAGGCCGGCTGAAGTACATGGTAAAACCCTGTCTCAAAAGAAAAAAAAAAAAAGAGATAAAGCCCGCCTTTGGGAGGATGGCGGATACTATGAATTGGCATGTGAATGTTTTCAAATTAGTTTTCCAGTCGTAATTTTGTCTTTCTAAAATGCGTTTCATTCCTGCAGGAGCTGGGCCTCCTGCAGTTGCGGGAAGGTGCGTCAGGAAGAAGCATGCGATCTCCGCTGTGCTGCCTCACTATCCTGGCTTTCCACACCTACATCTCTCTGATACTCGGTATGGTTTATGTTACTTTGTGCCTTATCATTGCAAGTTGGTTATCTTTAATCTGTAAAAAATCAGTACGAACTGCTGGTCTTTATCTATTTTTTAAAAAAATTTTGGAGTAAGCATTGGAAGATAGTGACATTTGGCAGAGGAGGTGGGCTTGATTCTTTCACAGACTTTTTTATCTTTTCTCAATTAAAATTTCTGTACATATTAAGGTAATTGGTTCAAATCATATTCATATAAATTTCTTTTTTGTAGAAAATTATATTTTGACTAAAATAAATTAATATTGCTTATTAAAACCAGAAATTCTAGTTAGGAATCTAAGCTAACCTCTTCTGTTCTTAAGAATTCGTCTGTTCTAAAGCTGTGTTAAAGTCAAGTCACTGATGAGACTTGTCTTTATTTTCCATATGTTAAAAACAACAACAACAGAATGGTAGTTCTCATCTTTTCCATCAGTAGTCTTTGCTATTGTTAATGAATGAAATTTGGAGAGTTAGTGATAATATCTGCAATGTTTCCTGAACACTGAGGCTTTTCCTGTTGAATTTCTAGGTACAGGAGAAGTGAATGTGGTGGAAGCAGAGCGTCTCCTTGCACCCTTCCTCCAGCAGTTTCCAAATGTATGCTTAGCATTTCACGTGTGTGTTTCAGCCATAGTTACTCAGCCAGCACCAACTCCTGAACTTTGTGCCTTCTTCTTTTCTCCGCAGGGCTCACTAATGTTGTTTTACCATGCACGCATTGAGCTGCTGAAAGGGAACATTGAAGAGGTAATTTTGCGGTGTGAGTTACTTGAGGGAGTTTTCTGTGTGGTGCAGTTGCCTTACACAATTATTTAACATAAGTAAATTGGGTTATATGGTCCAGAAAAAAACAATGAATAACCAAAATTTTAATTTGTGTATACATATTGTACCATATGTTAAATTCCCTGAATGCAAATTAGCACATAAAGCACATGGGGGTAGGACGTATGTATAAAACAGGCGGGCTGTCTAAACTGTTTCCAAAGGCTTTGTTACCAATTTCTGCATCCCACATTGACAGTGGAATCTAGACCCTGTAGAAGGTACAGCCCCACTGTACCATAGGTGGACTCCTCATCAAGGGGACTTGTTCACCAGTTCCCTTGAAGAAGCGTGAGAGTGGAGAGTCTTTTCCATACACATACTCATAGGTGGTTTTTGTTCACACAAAGGAGATCCAGTGTGTTTTTCTCTTGTTTTTGTCATACAACTTGAATCTTTCTCCGGGTCAGTTTATCTAAATCTCTGTCATTCTGTTTCATGGCTGGGCTTCATATTTTGGGGAAGATATATTTTACTTACTACTGTGCCCTGTGACTTGGTGTGACAGCGTGTGCCTGTAACTTGCACTCAGTAGGCTGAGACAAGAGAACTTTGAGTTGGAGGCTAGCCTGGGCTATGTAGCGAGACTGCCTCAGTAATAAAGAAATAAGTAAGTGAAATGAAATAAAATAGCTTATTGTTTGTTGTTAGCTGTTTGGCCACTTCAGTGATGTTGTAAACACCATTGTGCATATATATGTGAGCAGGTCTATTGATAGAAGCACATTGTCTTCATTAGGGTTTCTGTGTCAGAATTGTTTGCATTGATAAATCCAGCCAATTGTTTTTTAATTTTTATTAGTACAGTAATTATTATTAATAGTAATTTTTATTAGTTTACAGTATATAATGATTATGTTTATTACAGAGTTGATACATGGATACAACACATTTTAATTCTTTTCTAATCCATCTCCACATTTCATGGTTCCTTTGTCTTTTCTAAAAGATCTATCTTCTCTTTCCTACTATCTTTTATTTTGCTGTCTATTGATAGTTTGGGTTTTTTCATGTAAGAGAAGCCATGCTATATTTAAGCTTGTGTGTTTTATTTATTTCACTTAATATATTATGGTCTCAGGGTTCATCCATTTTCTTACAAATGATTCGACTTTATCTTTCTTTATGGCAAAGTAGTACTCCATTGTATATAAATTCATTTTCTTTATCCATTCATCTGTTGATGGACAGACAGTCTACTTCCAAGATTTACCTATGATGTGTTGTGCTGCTATAAACATGGGAATGCATATATTATTGTAATATAATGTCTTTGATTCTTTCCGGAAGCCACCTAGAAGGGGAATAGCTAGGTTGAATGCAGTTCCATTAGCTTTTTGTGAAATCTCCATATTGATTTGCGTAATGGTCACTAGTTTACATCCCCCCCAGCAGTGTAGAAGGTCACCACCCCCGCACCCTTGCCAGCATTTGTTATCATTTGGTTTCTTAATGATCCTCCTTCCTTCTGGAATAAGATGGAATTTTGGTGTTGTTTTAATTTTCATTTCTCTCATTCAGATTCTTATATCTTAAACTCATCCAGAGATGTGAGAATGCTTGTTTCTAATCCTCTTTGTCAACTCTGGGAATTTTCTCTCTTTTCTGTTTTTGCCAGTGAGATAAATGATACTCTAAGTTTTAAATCTATATTACCTCATTTATAAATTTCTTCATATGTGTATTTGTCGTTTGTATCTCTTTCTTCTCCCTTCCAAGTACTAACCAGGCCCGACCCTGCTTAGCTTCCGAGATCAGACGAGATTGGGCGCGTTCGGGGTGGTATGGCCGTAGACAATGTATCTCTTTCTTTATTTGCCTGATTATCAACTTTCCCATTGAATTGTCTTTTAAAAGATTTTTAAAATTTTTTGTCGGATCGGGGTTAGTTAACCTTTTGCTAGTTACGTAGATAGTAATATCTTCTCTTAGGCTGTCTAGTTCCTGGAACTTTGCAGTGTATTTTGCCTAACAGAAAATTTCAATTTCTTATAGTCAGTTTTTTCTTAAAGGACTGATACTTTATACCTTCCTCGGAATGGAATTTCCTGGGTCCTGTGTTGAAAAGTGCTGATTCCCCTCACCAACTTAAAGACACAGAGCTTAACTATATCATTCTGTGAAAGGAAAGAAACACATCATCATGTTGAGTGGTTTAATGAGTGATAATTTTGTTCTTTTTGTATGAAGCATTGTATGTATTTTTATTAGGGTATTGTCTCCTTGTCTAATATCTGATGATCATCTTTATGCAATTGACTTGTAGGCACAAGAGATATTTCGAAAATGCATTTCAGTTCAAGAAGAATGGAAACAGTTTCACCATCTCTGTTACTGGGAGCTAATGTGGATTAATGTGTTTCTACAAAACTGGATGCAGGCATATTACTATTCAGATCTCCTTTGCAAAGAGAGTAAATGGTCCAAGGTATAGTGTAGTGCCTTTATTAATGTCTTCGGTTTGCTAATAAGTATGCAGCCTGCTTGTTCAGTCATATGACGTTGACACTTTCCTCAGCACAGCTATATGGGAACTTTCCCTTAAGTCCTGACTACTCACTCATAAGCACAGTCTTCAGCGTTACATACTTTGAAAGCCATCTGCAGAGTTTCTAACAGAGATTTTATTATGAAGATCAACTCACTTGTATTTAGTTATTACATATCAATACTGTGATCTTGGTACTTTTCGTAGACAGACTTTTTGTGATTATTTAAATTACTTTGATCCATTTGTGGAAAGTTGGGAAGAATGAGATAATGATCTTTTCTTTATTCTTCTCAATTTCTCATCCTTGAGTATGATAGGAAAATGGTCTGAATTAATTGAAAACTGTTATCCTCATTTAGAACAGTTTTTCTTTTGATTTCTTTGATGCTGCTTAACATGAAATCTGTGAAATTTGTAGGTCATTTCTGGTTTTCCAATAGACATGTCATAACCTAAAAATGTCATCAAACTCCTTTTCTTTTTCTCTTCAAGGCAACATATGTGTTCTTGAAAGCTGCCATTTTGAGTATGCTTCCAGAGGAGGATGTATTAGCAACTAATGAGAATGTGGTAACATTATTCAGGTAAGCGGGACACTGTTGGTATCATGAAGAATCTGAATGTGTAAAGATATACAGATGCATCTGTCTTTTTTCTGTAGTGCCGCTTTATGCTTTGCTTTCGTATTTCTTTAATTTCTCTACTAATTTGACCATACAGTTAGCCAAGGGTCAAAGTGTCATACTTTAGCAGGATTTTGGAGATACGCTGGTAGGACTGGGAATCTTGAGAATATACTGCTTTTTTTGTTTTGGAACTGGAATTTTATTGTTGGGGTCTTGCTACTGCAATTAAGCTGGACTTTTCCCCCTTGTGGTTAATCCTATTCTTTCTTTTAGTTATGTGTTTAGATTTCTTAAATCCTTTCTCAGCAAACTGTTTGATGCATTCATAATGTGCAGTTATGTAAGAAAATGTCTGCAGGAACATGTGATCTCATCCTAGTTTTATTTTATTTTATTTATATATTGTTTTGAGACAAGGTTTTGCTATGCAGTTCAAGCTGGCCTGGAACTCACTTTGTAGCTCAGGCTGGTTTCGAATCCAAAATAATTCTTCTGCCTCAGCCTCCCAAGTGCCTAGTTTCACTTTAATGTGCTTGTAAATGTTTTCCTTTTCTTTGCACAATATTGGGGATTGAGCCTAGGGCCTTAGACATAGTAGGCGAGCCCTCTACCACTGACCTATATTGCCCACCACCCATGCTTGTGAATTTCATAATTAGAATTCCTTATAGTTTGAGAAGTTTGTAAATATGGTACATGTCCTAAACTGGTTATTTCCAAGATCATCTGTGGCAAGAAACATTTTCTAAAATTATACATTAATTGGTGGTTATCTTTTGAGTTACATTATTCTGTAGATCTGTGTCATATGCAAACCAGAAATGTACCAATGCACTCTTCCAAGTTTCCATACTGTAAGTAAATAACACTTTTTACGGGAAATTGCCAATTTTATATCTGGATTGCCTAGAATGTGCTTGACAGATGTGAGCATGAGCTAAATTGATTGGTCATCACATGAGTGTGCACCCAGAATCATATGGAGGCCATATCAGAAGCCAGATGGCCACGTCTATTCCTGGAGTTGCCAGTTTAGTAGGTCTCGGGTAGGATCTGAGAGTTTTGCATTTAAACAGGTTTCCAGGTGTTGTTGCTGCCGTTTTAGGTGATGCAGCATGAAAACCACAGGTATAAGTGATAATGTGTTTTCTGGTGCTCTGGGGAGTTGAGGCAGGAGGGTTGCAAGCTCAGGTCTGGGCCGTGCAACCTAGCAAGATTCTTTCTCAGAATGGAAAAATGAAAAATGTGTTAGGGATACAGCTCAGTGGAAAGGCGCTGGCTACAGTCCCCACTACCACAAATGAATGAATGCGTTTACTGATGTTTTGTTGGGCCCGGGAATCTTCACAGACAGGTGGATGGCTTGAAGCAGAGAATTGCTGGTAAATCTCTCCCTACTGAGAAGTTTGCTGTGAGGAAAGCTCGGCGTTACTCCCCCTCCTTGCCTGCCCCTGTGAAGCTCGTCCTGCCAGCCCTGGTATCTGCTTTGATTTACTGTTTACTAGAAAAAAATCGCCAGTTTAGAGCATCAGAGAGCGTATCATTACATGGGTACTGTACTCAAAAACCATTCTAGGTTTTCTAAGGTAAACACTTACAAGTGAATTAACAAATAATTAAAAGTATAGCTAATGCCATTATCTAGTAGCAGACATTGTGATTAAAGCTGTTTAAAACAGTGTATCATTAAGTTTTCATAGCAACTCGGAGTGTTGCCTCGGAGTGTCAGCCCTGTTTACAGGTAAGGACATTCAGGCAGAGGGAGGTGACTTCAACATCATTGAATTTGAACTGAATTATAGTGCAATCCATAAGTGTAATTTTACCTTTTCCTTTTTAAAATTTTCTTTTCTTTTTTTTTTTAGTTTTAATTTTTTATTTAAAAAAATTTAAAAAAGGATACAAATGATACAAAATTTCAAAAAAAAAGTAAAGAATTAACACTAGTTAATATATTGCACATTGTTATCTCAGATTACAAAATCTAGATACAAAAGAGATCAGTCAAACAATGACAGCACAAACTGTTCTTTTTGATGAACTAAGAGAGATTAATAGTATAGTTTTCTACTCATGTTTATAGCAGCACAATTTGTAATAGCTAAATCTTAGAAACAACCAAAATGCCCATCAACTGCAGAATGGATGAAAAAGATGTGGTATTTTTATACAATGGAATATTACTATAAAAAGGATGATCTGAGGTTTTTATAGGTTAATGAAGGCAACTTGAGACTATACTCATAAGTGAAGTAAATCAGACTCACATTTGTAAATATCGTATTATCTCTCTAGTGTAAAAAATAAATAATAATATAATTTTACTTTTTCTAATAGCCATATTTAAAAAGTAACAGAAATCTCAAATTAATTTTAAGATTATATTTTGTTTAACACAGTATATGCAAAGTTTTGCAATTTCAGCATGTAATTGATAAAAACTTATTCGTAAGATATTTTCCATCCTTTTACATTGTCCTACCTCTTGGAAATCTAGTGTGTCTTCCATACTGATAGGATATTCAGTATTTCTACTATTCAAGATCCAGAGTGGCTGGCAGTGGCTACAGTCCACCTGGAGCTCTCTTTAGGCAAGGCATCTGTGGAAAACACTTTTAATAGGAAATTTTTCTTAATGAGGTCCTCCTTTAAAAACACAATTCAAATTACCAGGGGTCTTCTGGGGCTTTAGTTCTTGTGAAAGTAGTCAGTAAAAAAAACTAGTTAGTAGAAGCCAATGTCTGCTATCCTCTTAAGTCTTTTTTAAAAAAAATATTCCAGTTTACTTAATCATTCTCTTTTGATGGTTGTGTTAAGTTTTCCATGTTCTACTACATAAACACACCACAATGAATATAGTTATATATATGTACACACTTCTTTGGAGAAGATTTTTAGAAATAGAATTCTTGATTGAGGGTATATTTAGGCAGATATTGCCAGATTGCTCTCCAAAAAAGATCTATCAATTTAAATTACTACCTGCAATGTTTCATTTTTTAAATTTGCATTTCCCTTGTAGGTACTCTTGAGCATCTTTTTGTGTGTTCATTTTTATTTTTTCATTTGTAACTATTTCATATCCTTCCTTGAGTTTTCTTGTTTCTTATTTTGTTACAGACTTACAGAGCTTTTTATGCATTCTATGAGAATGGAAAATGCAGGTATCAGATGGGAGCCAGCCTGCCCCTGGCACCTAGGCCCAGTGTTTCCTACTTAACATGGGCATTCCAGAGAGCACTACCCTCAGACAGGGCTGGTCTGTGACTCTGGTGGAGTAAGACAGACGTGTAACTACTCTTCAATCATGTCCAAGCACAGATAAAAGAACACGGTGTCGATATCCGAGACACTGAACATCTGTCTCCCAGTCAGAGACAGATGAGTATACAGTGCTGCTTCAGTTAGCTTCAGTTCCATTCTTATTTTATTTTTGTCAAGCTAAATTGCATTGTTAAAGTTTTCCTATCTCACGGAACTTTCCAGAAACATGTCTAAACCATTGAGTTCTTTGCGTGCACTAGTACTTGATACCAGCATGCACACAGCTTTTTCCTGCTTTGGCCATTAACAGTTTTAAGAAAGGTCTAATTTAAGTATACCTCCCTTTCCAAGTATGTTGTTGGGGAAGAAGAAAGAAAATGACTGGAACTGGTACTTGGGAATTTTACCACAAGCCTGTGTTTCTTAGGTCTTAGACATGTACTTGGCTCTTTCTGATAAAACATTCCATCAATGAAAAACTAAAATTATCATCATGAATTTCAAAATATTCCAAATGTTATTGAAATTCTGTAGCAATAAAAAATTGTCCTTTGTAAAATGAACAGTAAGAAATTGTCCCATGTTATAACCTTAACTTTCAGTGCCATACAGTGAAACTGTTGCCACTCTGCCTGAATGTGTCTCTGTCACATCCACTGCTTCCCTTTTAAGAGACTTTTTAAGTAGTAACTATCAGTTTAAAATTCGTTTGCTTCCAAGAAGGTACTAATTACCCTGCTTATTGCATACTTTGTAAAATATGAATTGCACTGTCAGGAGCATTAGAAAAATATTTTCAGGAAAAAGCACATTTGCTTTTGGTCCAAAAAAAAAAAAATTCTCATCTGTTAGTCCATTAAATCTAATCTACAATGAGAAATCATTGCTTTACATTTTCAGAAGCTGTCATTCAGCCATATGGCCTTTAAATGAATGTGTTCTCTGCATATTGGTTTGCATTACTGGACCAACACATGTTTTTAATGGTATAAAAGAACCTGGGCCCACTAAAATATTCCAGTGTTCATTTCCAGTGATATGCTTGGAAACATTTTGTATAAATAACTGGCAGACATTTAAAAATATTTTCTTTTACTTAAAAGTAACAACAAAAATTTATATTAAATGGATTTGTTCAGTGTCAGTTTAAAATGTATTTATGTGTGTGTGCTTGCACATGTGCACTGGGATTGAACTCAAGATCTTGCACACACTAGGCAAGTGTTGTATCATTGAGTGACATCCCCAGCACTATATTTACATTTTGAACATCTTCAAAAAGATACAGTGATACTAGTAGGTACTTAAATATTTGTTAAAAGTGAATAAGTTAATTTTCAATAAAAGCACAAAATATGCAAAAGGCAGAAGGCATATAATCAAAATAAGTGGATTAAATCAGTCCAATGAAGCTGAGAAACATGATCTCTAAATATTGTCTTGAAATCCCTAGTAACTGAGGCAAAACATACCTACATAGTTTTTGTGGTTATAAAAGAGGTTGAATAAACTCAAATAATTTTGAATGGTTTTTCATTCTTTCTCATTAGGAAATGATGTATGTCTGGAATGGTTTTTCAATAGTGGGAAAAAGAAAAGACCTTTGTGAAAATCTCTTGGTAACCATTGAAAAAGCTGAGTCAGCTTTACAAAATGAAGGTAAGTATGAAAAGTAAACAGATAGTAATCTTTGTCTCTGCTCCATTTGTGTTCTTTCTTTTTCATGTGCATGTCCATGTCAGTTTTTGTGCGTCCTGAGGACAAAAGTGCTTGAGCTGCAGGTGTCTGAGTGGTTGCAGTCAAGATGGAGGAATGACATACGCTGCTTAACATGGACCAGTGCTGGAGACATGGGCAGAGAGAAGGAGGCCGCTCATGAAAACCACACACTGTGTGATTCTGTTTGTGTGACGTATCTAGTGTGGGCCAGTGCTTAAAGACAATATAGATTGGAAAGAAGTAGTTACAGGTAGACAAATTGGAATGGAGGTGTGGTAGCTGGAGGATATAGTATTTTGTTGGGGAGGGGATGAAAATGTTCTAAAATTAATTGCAGTGGTGGTTGCACTACTCTGTAAATGTGCTAGACACTATTAAATTGTGTCCTACAAGTGAATGAAATGTATGGTCTGTGCATTGTATCTGAAAACGTAACGAGAAAGACGAAGGGAGGATGTGAGGCATTGAAAAGTGAGAGCAGCAGTTTCCTTTTGGCTTTAACTTGCTGTTCCTCTGTCCACGCCTGGTGATTTGCCAGGCTAGTGTTCTGTTGATGTAGTGAGTCGTTTGTGTTCAAGTTTGGATCTTACTGTATACTTTGTTTGCTCGTTACCTCTGATGGTGGTGGAGGTCCTACGCCGGTTTGCATAAGGCAGCTGATATAACAGAAGGAAAATCAGCCTGTCTGGGTTTGTGGTCTCAACTGTGCAGCCACCAGATTCTGGGGAATTTTTTGAAATGGGGCCAGAGTTGGGCTAAAAATACTTAAACTTGTTTTCTTGTTCTGATATTTCTGATTCTGTTTTTCTTTGTTTTTGTTGTTTTTGAAGAGGCTTTATGTTGTGATACACTGTCAGCAGTGACAGCCTTTGTGTATATTTCTCAAGTAATTTAAATATTATCCCAAGATCATGAGTCTTTTGAGATGTTCTAACCATAGGAAGAAGTAAAATGAAAATGCCTATGGTGATAAACCCAGTATAAAGGGCACAGAAATTTAGAATGGTGGGTGAAAACCATTAATAGTTAACTCGTTTTTCTTAACTGGAGAAAGATGGATGTTTGAGGAGCCTTAGATCCATACACAACATGGCTCCCCATAGAGGGGAGTAAATTATTGCATTCACGTCCAGGGATCAGAACTTCTTCTGGTCTTTTGTATTGATGTTTTTCTTCTCAAGCTGAAATGCTTACTGAGTCTTCTCTTTACACTTTTTTTTTAAAACACATAATTATAATTTTTAGGTATAGTTTTTAGGTAAAAATAGGATCATACAATGTATGGGAAAAGTCATCCATATTTTTGCTACTGTAGTATAATTTAGAATTTTTGTGTCTTCCATCCTGGCTTTATATTTAGAGTTACACACATAAGGTGTCTAGATATATACTAATCTGCCTTTTTTTTCATTAAGTCATCATGAATGTTTTAGTTTTGGTAAATGGCCTTTATACATTTCAAAAGCTTCATAGTACTCTATGGAGATAATGTATCATAATTTATTTCACTCTGAGTTTTGTTGGATATTTAGACTGCTTTTCCCATTTAAAATAATTCTAGCATTAGAGTTCATCAAGAGGATCAGAAATATAAAAAAATGAAAACTGAATCCATGGCCGTATCTGTTAACAAGGTCAAAGTTTCAGACCAGCTTGCTAAAGAATCAATTAAAGCAACATGAACAGTGTGATTCTGAGACTAGTCTTTCCCCTCCTCTTATAAGCTATTTTAAAAAGACTGGTCTGAAAACAAAAAAAGACTGATTTGTGGTCATAGGAATACCAAATGAGTGAAATAGTCTACCTCACTGTGGAAAAAGCATTACACGAAAGGGATAAATAATATCGCCTTCTCCTACTAAAAATAGTGCTTAACACCAAACCTGGCCTGTTACGACCTTTTAGTAATTAATATCCTATCCTTCAAATTGGGGGAAACAAACTCAGACTTGGCAGATGGAGGTAATTTATGAACTTGAGGTTATATTGGCCTCCTCCTCTTCCCTATCCCTGTTATTAGAAATGGAATGATTTTTCTTCTAGCTTTGGCAAGTGAGTCTAAACTGGGCCTAAAGATAATAGAAGATAAGATTTTTCTACTTTGGCATTGCTCAGGCCATAATGGCTCTTCACTGAGACAAAGGGCAGAGCTCTGAAGACAGAAAAGTACTTGTTAACATGCTTGGTGTCAGCATTTGCTATTAATTCCAGTGGTGTTTCACGTGAAATCTAATTTAAGTATCCAGATGCTGGTACAACAGATCCACTTTACCTGTTTGTTGAAGTTAATCTCTTGGTGAAATTATGTAGCAAATATAATTAAGTTATACAAAAGGAAAAGTATTAATGCTTTGATGGCTTTTCACTTTCTAATCTATTTTCATGTTTTTCCTTGGTTCATTTCAATAAATTTCTAAAAAGTTCATGATCAGTCTGAACCATAACTCCCTTTTTCCTCAGTCTACTACCAACTTACTAACTTTGGCAGATCTTTGTGATACAGCTATACTTGGGCAACATTATCTTATAATTTTCTTCTGATATAAAGTGGAAATCCTCATCTTTGAGTTCTTTCATGAGGTTAAGAATCATGATAAAGAATGCATATTTTTAGGGAAAGTGATCTCTGACAAATTATGGTCTGAGGAAATAATGATTTTCTTTTAAGGTTTTTAGAGGAATGTAGAATTTTTTTTTAACTAATTTGGTATATTCCTAACTCAAGTTTTACATGAAAGTTACATGTGGCTTTACTGATATTTTGCTTTTCTATGGTGCTATGTCTGTTCCTCATCAAAAATCGTTCAGTATAGAATGTTGTCATAACACAAACTGTCAATAAAACGCTACACAAAACTCATATACAATGCACAAAAATGACACTGAACACTAGCATCCAGTGTGGACCTAAGCAAAAGCCTTAAGAGATATTCCTTCTTGAATATATATTTCAACAAATATCCATGATTAGAAATATAGATAAAATTGGGAGGTTTAGAAGTATCCTCAGTAAGTCATAGGAACAGTATGTGGTGTTGGTATTTGATTTTTCTTAATAAATGACCTGTCAGTACTTGTTAGAGCTGCATCTCAGTGGTTTTTACCACATAGAAGTAAACTGACCCACTTCTAGTTAGCTAACTGACATTGTTAAATTCCCGGAGATAAGCAGTTTACCAACTAAAGTAGCAGTATGTGTCACTGGTGATTTTTGGAATTTGTACTAAGGCAGGAGGAGAGTTTCAATCTGAGGGACTCCCAAGGGCCTCAGCTAGTTCCCTTTGCTGCCCTTCTTCTGTTGTCTTGGCCTAAATGTGTGAATTAGCTTTCTATCTTGGAATGACTTCTTTATTGTATGTAACTTGAAAACAAGTGAGTGTGTGTGGGGGGTTTCAAAAGTGGTAAATGTGGAGTGACCACCTTTGTCAGATGTCACACACGGTATTTGACTTGAGCTGTAGAAGGCCCAGAGTCGTTTTCAAAAGGGAAAAATGCTTAAAGAATGTCTTTTACTTTTGTAACCACACGCATTTAGAGGTTTGTGGGGATTTTACATGCTTTTCATATATTTCAGAACTGTTTTGTTTAATTTTATGACATAATTTCCCCCTAAAAGAACATAACCTGGGAGAATTGATAAGCTGTAAACATAATGATCTGGAGAGGGTGTTCTACTTCCTGAATTTTTAATGGGAATAAGGCCATCTGCTTCTCCATATGGAAGTGTTATTCTCTCCTGCATTAAAGCCAACGCAGTTAGAAGCCAGAACAACAGGAGGAGGCAGCCTTCTTGTTCCTCCTGGCTTTACCTTTTATAGAATTAATAAAGCTCTTTATTTAGAGCTCAGAATCCCTGTAGTTATACGTACGGTTAAAAAACTCAGAATGTGATCACCTGAAAAAAAATTTTAAGTGGATTCCTTGATACAGTGGTATACTAATATAGTAAATTCAGTGTTCTTTTTATTTAGGCATAAGAAATGCTAAAAATATTTTCTTTTTTAAAAATGATCCCCATGAAATAAATAGATGTTAATTTTCGTCTTAATAAGGATTTTTAAAGTATTTTTGGGCTAGGGGGTGTAGCTAGGTCAGAGGTAGAATATTTACCCCGCATGCTGGTATGAAGTCCTGGGCTCAATCCCTGGTACTGGAGAAAAAAAGGAATTCTTTTTTCCATTTTGTGTTCTTGTCTGTTTTAAGGCTGTACTGATTATTCTGTGGATGACGAGTGCATAGTGAAGTTACTCAAAGGATGCTGTCTCAAGAACTTACAGCGGCCCTTGCAAGCTGAACTGTGTTTCAATCATGTTGTGGAAAGGTAAGAACAATCAATCGAAACCAGGCAGAATGCATTTCCAGGGAATCGTTACCAGACGGTGATGCAAAATGCTTTCAACTATTGAACTTTTACTTGGTGTTACCAAGGAGAGAATCCAGGATTTCTTTCTTTATTCTTCATGAACAAAAGTATAGCCTAAATGAAACATAGTTTATGCATTTCTACAGTACTTGGTGTTTCAAGATGACCCACAAAAAACTAAATTTATGGCCTGGCTAGTGGGTGTCTATTCAATCAGGAAGTGATATATCAGCCTGTGGTATTCTTCTAATTCATACATTTAGGCTTTTTTTTATTCCATTCAAATATTCAACAGATATTTGAGTACCCACTATGTGCCAGAGATTTCTGGGTCCTAGGGTTCAGATTTGAATAAGCATTTGACAAGAACCTGCCTGTTTCTTGGCAAACGGCATTCTTCTACATATAACTTTTTTTCAGCCAATAGCAGTGCTATCATACTTCTTTTCTAATTGTAGAGTTGAATCAAGTGATAGCCAAATGCTTGGCCCTCTTCTCTTTGCAACAAATGCAAATATCTTAAGGCCAGAGAAGCAGCCCTAAGGAAAGAGGAAGGCTGAGTGATGGTGGGAAGAGAGATTGGTGGGCACTGTAGATTAGGGAGATAGTGTGTTCTCCAAAAAGTGCAGCCACTCCTTGGGTCTAATTGATAATTGCTCATTATAATGTGAGCCCAGTGACAGTAGTCCTTTCTTGAAATAGTCTTTGCATGAAAAGCCTGAAAGTTGGATTTTATGTAGAATCTTCTGATTTTTAAATATTGGTGCACATTTTTTGAAAACACTGTGCAAGCTAAGAAGACCACACCCATAACAGCGGTCGGCATCGTATTCCTTCCATGGCCATCTGATCCCCTTCCTCCTGACAGTATTTATGGGAATCTGAGAGGACTGATACTTTGTATACAAAGAAAAAAGAGGCAGTATATTTTTCCCAAATAAGTGGTAGACTGTATTTAGTAGACATATTCAAGAAGTACGTATGCAGTTCTATTTTATTGGTGTCAAAAGGGTGGTCAAAATCATGTCCCATTTGTGCTGTTAATTATGTTTATTGAATCAGTGAATTATTTGTTTATGTGTTCTACAATTTTGGATTGTGAACTCAGGCAATATTGAGGAAGAGTCTCTCTACAAAGTAACTTTTATTTTTATCAATTGTCCTAAAGGCTTTTGTATCCCATGACCACTTTCATATTAATTTCATTGTTTACTGGCTCTTGGATCATTTGGGTAATGTAAATTTGAATTGAAAATTCATGTGAATACAGACCTATTGGCTGTTGCTTTCCCAAGAAATGTGTTTTTTCTTTCTCTCATTAAAAATACAGGGCAAAGAGACCACTGTCCTGTAGTCTGGAGTAGCTAGTGTTCGTCTTCAAGTATCCAAGCTTCAAAGAGAGGACTGAGTTTGAGCCACCTGCCCAAGGCATCAACTCTTACATAGACATTAGAATACAGAGCTCTGTATGATTCAGATGGAAATAATCCCAGAACCCATTCAGCATTATCCTGCATACCTACAGTTCTGGTTTATTTTAGTTACAGCTCTATTTTTGGCACCTGAGGGATTTTCTTATATTCTCCAGAGCTAAACCATGTATTTGAAAGGGTGTTACTCATATTTTTTCCAGCGTCTCTACATGTTTTGTAGCTGAGAATTTCATAATGATCCTGAAAACAGAACCATTATGATCTTTTCAGGCAGTGTAAGATTTTAAAATACCAATTGAACTTTAGAAAAATACAGTAGTTTTGCTTATAAATGGACTGAACATACTCCTCATGTTCAGAAAGATAATCTCATCATTTTGAAGGTTATTCTTTAAAGGTCTGCATCTGTTCAGTAAACATCATCTGTGCTGGATTTAGAATAAGGAATAATGATTAATATATTAAAAGCATGCTGTTGCTGGACTTGGTGGTGCATGCCTATAAAATCAGCCCTCGTGAGTCTGAGGCAGGAGGATAGCCACGAGTTCAAGGCCAGCCTGGGCTCCATAGTGCATTCAAGGCCAGTCTGAACTACATAGTGAGACCCTGTCTCAAAAAAAGAAGCACAATGTAGTTTGTTAAGTTCAAGCCACCTGCCCAAGACCTCATTTCCTGCATAGACATTAAGCACAGAGCTCTGCATGATTCAGATGGAAGTAGTTTGCTAAGTTTCGTAACTATATACAGTGACTTTTCTCTGATTATAGGCTTAAAGCCATGTTTGTTTTCTCCGGAATGAAAAATAAGTTTTGGAAAAACAGTATGGTTTTGTTCTAGTAAGATTTAATTGATTTCTATTTGTTCTTTCAGTGAAAAGCTGCTGAAGTATGACCACTACCTAGTTCCGTTCACTCTGTTTGAGCTGGCATTTTTGTATAAAAACCAGGGGGAAATTGACAAAGCCATAAAGGTCCTAGAAACTGCAAGGTAAGTGATGAAGGCAGTCTTTCCTTGATTGTTGTAGAGTTAAGAATGTCAGTATCATTATAAGTAGAGTGGCATTTAATACTTAAACATTAATAAGTCAATGCAGAATTAATAATTTTATTACTTTTTCTAATTTACGTGTTGTTCATGCTCATGGGTTTTGCTGTAATTGTGCTTTTTAATTTTTTATTTATTTTATTTATTTTTTATTTTTTAAAATTGTGTTGTTTCAAGTTTTAATGCCTCACCTGTGAATATTTATAGATATTATTATAGGCATTTGAGTGATTTCTAATTTGATCTCTTTTGTATCAGGAACTGACAAACTTATACCATAAATGGCTTTGTAGTATAAGGCCTACATTGTAACTACTCAGTTATAAAATGTAGCCATGGAAGATAAAACGTTAGTGAATGGGCTTGTTTAGATTTGGCCATTGGCTCATAATTTAGTGATTTGGTTGTATCAGTCATATCTCACGTTACCGTGAAGAGCCATTGCTCATATGAAGCTCTTTGATCTTTCATTGACTCTCCTTTCTGTTGACCATGGCAGATGTGAAGGGTTTTTATCATTCTGGTAGGCAGTGGTTCTTAGACTTGATCATGGCTCACTTGGGTGAGGTGAAAACTCTATGTTGAAAACTCTATGTGTTTGTTTTAAGCACTTCATGCAATGGAGAAAGAACACCGTAATAATTCTAGGTTATAAATAGCTTAATTGTTCATGTCTTCAAATTCACCAAATATTCACTAAATGTCTTAATGCATTCTAAAAGCTATTAGACAGCTGTAAAGTAAATCGTCAGCATTTCTGCTGTCTTAGCTGGAAGGAGATAGTAACTAAACAATCAAGTAGAAAAACAGCAGTACCTATGTAGAAATTTATACTCTTCATAGGAAGATACCTGAATGTTACTTTAGACTGGATTGGTTCTGGAAGATTTCCTTAAGGAGATGATACTATAATTGATAATTGCATATTTAAAACTAGCTTCAAGATAATCATCAGAAGCTGGGTAGAGACATTTCTAGCAAAAACTAGAGCTATGAAACCTCTAGTTTGTGGCTTTGAGCCATTAGATTGACAATGATATTTTTACTCAAATGGGAGATATTTAGAAGAACAGGTTTGGGGAGAGAAAGAAGCACACTTCTCTTTGCACAGTGATACTTTGAGATGGCGGTTAGGTACCTAGGTCTAGATGGTGAGTGGACAGATACACAGTCATGGAATTTAGTAGCAGGATGAAAGCAATGTAGAAATTCAAAGTTACCAACACAAAGATAATGATATTTACAGCCATCATACTTGATGAGGTCATTGGGGGAAAGTTATAGGGCAAGAGTTGGAGGTCTAGCATACTACCTGGGATATTCCATCATTTAGAGAGTAATCAATAAAATCAATATTAAAGTCATATTAATAAGATTTAGTGAAGTTAGGGAGATATCTGGGGAAATCAAGTGTTTGAAAAAGGTAAGAATATCAGTTACTGTGGCAGGTCAAGTTACTGTGGGAGGTCAAGAAACATAAGACCAGTAGAAGGGGCTGAGGAATTTAGCAGTTAGAAAATTGTGATGATTCAACAAAGTGAGGTGAGAAAAGACATTGTACCTTTAAGGAAGGCTATTCGAGTGTTTACTGTGTAAGCTGGGGTTGGTGGCACACGCCTGTAATCCCAGCAGTTGGGAGGCTGAGGCAGGATGATCACTGCGAATTTGAGACCAGCTTGCACTACAAAACGAGCTTTAAACTGAACTGCATAATGAGACCCTATCTCTAAAAGACCCCCACCCCAAAAAAATGTTTGTTCTGTATTAAGCTTAGTAAGTAATATGATAGAAGTTTCAGGGACATGGTACAGCCAAGAAAGACTTACTAAAATTATATATATATATATATATTGAATATTTATACATTATTTTATATATATATATATATATATATATATATATATATATATATATATGTATGTTATGACAACAGGTCACTTAGAGTTAATTTGTTGGAGTGAGGTTGTCTTAGTTACTTTTTACTCGTTGCTGAGACAAAATACCTGAAGCCCAAAGCTGGGAAAGAAAAGGTTTATTTCTTACAGTTTTTGGAGGTTTCAGTCCATACTCAGTTGGCTCCAAGGCAGGGTGGCATGGCTGGGCCGCAGTTCATGGCGGCTGCAAACAGCAAGGCCGAAACCGCCAAGAGAGCCAGACACACCTTCTTCCTGCCATTACATCACGTCCTGACTCCACCCCTATGTGAGTGTGGCACTGACATCATCAATCCAAGCACTAGACAATGAACCAATCACAGATGTATAAGGTAAATGCATGAGGCCTGGGGGCCACCGACACAAACCATGACTGAGATTGACTAAGATTTCAACTGGAGCCTCTATATATCTTCAAATCTAGATATTGAAAGATTAAATGCTCTTTTCCCAAATATTCATTGTTTGGGCATATTCAGTACTGTAAGTACACAATAAGATAATCTTATAATGAAGAAAATAAGAGTAATTATTCCTATTAAAAAGTAACTAAAAGCTTCTGCTGACTCAAGTACTGGTGATACAAAATTATACTGTCTAGTGATTTCAAGAATGTTACTTGCAGTTTCCTTTACACAGTAGGAGTTCTACATAGTTTCCAAAATTGGTGATCAGGTATTTAAGAAATTAGTTGGTTACATCCTTTGGTAAACTGTCAGATCTTAACTTCAAGTTTATGAATAATATATTTGCTAACTGTCATCAGAGTTCCTAGCAAGTAGCCCTTAGATCTGTGTAAATGAAACACAATAAAAACAAATACTGCTTTGGCAGAGGAGAAGTTATATTCACCTCCTGGCCAAGGCCGAGTACGAAAGCAGGAGACCAAAGTCAAAAGTGTTCTGTTTTGGTGAGTCTTGTAGAAAAGGGAAGTCAACATGAATGACGTAAAATCAATTCTAAAATAATCTTTGGATTTCTGTGGCCCATTCTGAATATAATATTTGGCCAGATCATTGATATTTGCATGTGAGAATTTTGATATCACTAAATAATACTGCCTGTATTGTAGTTGTTTCATGAGGGTTTCAAAGTATTATTTCTTTTCTGAATGATGGTTCATGTTCACTGCTTGTATGAGCCTACTGTAATATTTCCAACTTAGAGAAATTAAACTGTTTAAGAATGTTTCGCCAAGCTTGTTAGGGTTACCTCATAATCTTACTGTGTTTATGAATGATCTGGTAACCAAATAGATTGTTTCTACTCAAAGTATGTCCTATGAGTTACCACCAGGAAGCTTTTGGAAATACAGAGTTGGCATCTCCTCTCCCCTCTTGTAAGCAGAATGTGCATTGTACTGAGGTGCACTGGTAGTCATATTAGACTTGGAGAGTAATTAAGGGAGCTGAAGAGAAGAAGGGGAGGGTGGTGATGGCCTGGGAAACAAAGAAATTTTGACTGTTCAATTTTGTTGTTATTGTCTTCAGAAACAACTACAAAGATTACTCCTTGGAGTCCAGACTACACTTCAGAATTCAGGCGGCTCTTCACCTCTGGAAAAAACCCTCCTCAGACTGATCAAAACATGAAGAATGGAATTTCCCTCAGCACTGGCACCTACTGTAGATCAGTCCTTGTATTAAAGTGGAAAAATGATCTTACGAATAAGAGACACAGAACCAGTTTTAATTGTCAAAATTTTCTGCCCATCTGATTAGTTTATTTTTAGTCTATATAAATTTTTTTTCTTATGGAATGATATTCAGTAATGTCTAGAAAATTCTTATATTTGCTTCTCCAAAATGAATTTCACATTAGTTTTTAACTGGGGAGTGAAGAAGTCTTTTGAAAGACCCACAAGTACAATCAAGTCTAATTAGATTATTTATTTTTTTATGTGGAAATTAATATTGTTTAGGAAGCAAATGGCTTAGGTTTAGCCATTTTTAGATTTGTTTCTTAGTTAAATTTCAGAGATATTTTGTTGCCTATTGCTTAAATCTTAGAAGGGAAGAAACACCGCACTCAGAGTAGTTTAACAGTGAACTCTTGAAGACTGAAAAAGCAGAAGATGTGAACTGGGTTAGGGTAATGTATTTCACAGGTTAAAGTGACCTGTATTTGTTAAAGATGATGAAATACTAAATGATTGAGTTTGTACTGTTCCTGTTAGTTAAAAAATTGTGATACTTTTGAGAGACTTATTTTTGAATGTACTTGAGTCTATTATAACAGCAAAATTTTCTTAAAAATCTAAAGAGAAGTCATAATTTAGAGATTTTCCTTAACTATAGTGATAAATGCTAAAATATATACATTGGTTATTTTTCTTATAGTAAGCAAAATATGTTTCTTGCTTTAAATGATATGTAAAATATCTACAGTTTTATACTTACAAAGTTGCTGAGATCTTATTTTCTAAGCTCTTAGCATTGTGATGGTTCCTTGTAATATTTGGAATGTCCTTTATTTGGGAAATGGAATCAGAATAGAGCAGGAAAAAGCTTTGGCTCTGTCCTGTTCTGGCTCTACTACCAATGAATAGTTCATGGAGTGACCTTTAGGAAGTCCCTTCTCCTTCTGCTTCACTGTATTTTCCTCATCTGTGGAATGGGAAAAGCACAGGTGACTTTCAAGGTCTCTTGGAGTTTTGTAACTATAGGTATGTACATTAGGTATTTATTTTCAGGAGACAATGTTGAATGTTTGATCCAAACTATTCCCACTGCCAGTGTTTCAGTTTTTCAGTCACTGCCATTCCTTCCACCTCTTCAGGTGTGTACGTTGCCACTAAGGGCCAGATTGCATCTGGAATGAGGAAAAATAGTTCATGAGTTGAACGGTTGGGTTTTATCTCATTTCTGTTTCTGTTTTGAAGATGAGTACATTACCTTGTCTTGGAGGCCTCTCACTTTCCATAGAAAGAGCGCCCAAGCTCCTGTTCGGAGTCAGGAGCCCATCTCTGTTGGTTAATAACTCCACAATGTGAAACAAATGACTTAACCTTTATGGGCTCAATTTCTTAATGGGAATAGCAAGGTGACACTTGGGGCTTATGAGGGCTCAATTAAATGATGTATAGTAGCAGTAAACTGAGTAGCTACAGAATATGAGGAGTACTGTAATAATTATATAGTTTTCATGCATAGGTTATAGTATGAACATAAAATTATTGGCTGAATCTATGGTTTTTGCCTTTAAATGAAAGAAGTATAGAAATTTAAGAACCTTTAAATTTGTTTGTGTATTGGCACTAACAATAGCCCATATTATAAATTTGCTCCCTGCTGTGCCTGGCTGCAGGACCCTGTGCCCAGCAGTCACTTTTGAGGTTTCCTTTAAGGTACTGGTTCTTGGCCAACACTGAGGATGTATTTCCTGTGGAAGATGTTAATACAAGTAGAATCAGACAACCACCCCTTCAGATGGTGTGGTGATAGATTTTAATATGTGCTATTAGTATACATTACATAATTTTGGGGTCAGACAGAAGAGGAAATAAATTGAGTGTCATTACATGTAATTGGTAGTGGAAAATATGTTCAATAATTATTTTGTGTATAACTTGAAAAATGTTTATAAATTATTTAGAAAAACTTTGGTAGTTTTATTTTTTAAGGCAGAAATATCCATATTCTTAAGCATATATACACATATTATTTTTCTGAGAAGCAGTAAGTTTGAGTGGATATTAAAAAAAATGCTAATGTAAAATGAAACCGCTTAAAGCTAATAGTGACTTGATTTTAGCCACATTACCAAACAAAAAGGAAATTCATCTGTACAACTAAAATTTTCCTTGTTTTGTTTTTGTTATTTCTTCCTACCTTATAGTTTCCTGGTATTGTGGATAATCTGTCCAGGGGATTTCTAAGTACTGTAATAGCATTTATGATAGGAATGTTTATGTTTGTTATTATGTTCAAGATACTGTGCTGGCACCAGTTTCTTGTGACATCAGCTACTGCTGCAGTTTTAGACTTAGTTTGTGATTTAGGTTGTTTCGTGAACAGTGAGCCCTGAGGCGACAGTGTTTTACTTAATCTTTCTAGGGGCATATCTGATGGATTGTGTTGCCAGTGTGTCTGGCAGTGTAATTTGTGCAGTTCCTAGTATAATTGCCTTAATTTATTTTGAAATGGAGAGTCAGTGTTCTGATTAGTGCTTTGTAAATTTCAGCAAAGGTTGTGCTTCACGGATGGTGATAAGGAAAGCATGGTAGACATGATGGTTTTCACTTGACAACAGAAGAAAGATGAATCAGCTTTTTTTTTTTTTTTTTTTTTTTTTTTTTTTTTTTTTTTTTTTTTTTTTTTTGCCAGTATTGAGGATTGAACCCAGGACCTTTAGTGTACTACACAAGTGCTTTACCACTCAATTAATCCCCTGTTTAAATTTTATTTTGAGAGAGGGGCTCACCTAGCATTATATCAGCTCTTGACATATATTTTTATGTTCTTTTGTGTGTCTGTGGATATAAGGTCTCAAATTTTATAGGAAAAATAATTTTACTGATTATCTCTCCCTTTACAAAGCATAGATTGGGCCAGGGATTTAGTTCAAGGGTAAAGCACTTTACTCACATGCACGAGGCCCTGAGTTGATCCCTAGCACTAAAAACCAAGCAAACATTGCAAGGAGCAGAGATGAACCAAGGGGGTAGAAGCTGTAGGGAGGTGAATTCCAGGTTAATCAGTGGTGGGGAGAAGTTTTAATCATTGGCACAATCCAGTAATTTAGGCAACTCTGTGTGACTGTCATTTCTACCTGGGCTTGGACTGGTTGAATTTGAGATCCCTCTATGATTCTTTGATCAGGGCCTCAAATCAATACTGTGACAAAGAAGAAAATGCCCCGTTCAAACAAAAATGAACATTTCTTCTTTTGAAGTTCAGTGTGTTAGGCACTAATGGTCTGTACTATTGAAACTCATGGTTTCACTTCTCATCCATTCCTGTAAAAGGAGCGTATTGATTTTGGTGAACAGCATGGTACTTCCATCATGGACAATAAAAATAATAATTAAAACCTGGTCTTTGTGACAGTTAAAACATTCTTATATCGCTGTGATTAATTCTCCATTGACTTATTTTTTGCTATTTGTTTTTATTTCCTGGTTGTACTGTTTATAAATCTTAAATTCAAATACATTTAGTTAAAATAATTTTGTTGTTCATTGGGCCTGACATGGATCTTAACCTTTTTAAGCTTCTAAATAGTACTGGTTCTCTTTCCGACCTGTTCTGTTCACTACAGTAACCATGTGGCCTTAGGATGGTTAGGGAACATGAGGTGACGAGTGTCAAGGGAGCCTTCCCTCACATGTGCCGCAAGGCCTCCAGGAGCCTGCGTGCTGCTGTTCTGGTGTGGCCTGCTGTCTGCTGTGACCACCTGGTGACCACACTCTCATCATCAGTTGAGTTTCTAATATCTGCATGTAGAGTTTACTTTGTCTGTTTAAGTGCCCTTAAATTTTCATGCCATCATATTTATTCTGCAGATGATGGAGCTCACTGGCATGTTTCTTTTCTGTCGGCGGGATACGAGAGGTTGAACTCATGACCTCACACTTGCCAGGCAAGTGCTTGTACTGCTGAGCTAACCCCCCGCCGCTCACTGGCATGTTTAAACATTAGTCTTAACTCTTCCCCCACACTACACTCCTTGTGTGTTAGACTAAAAGTGCTTACTTTGATGGTTGCTATTTCATCTGATTTTCTAGACATTGTTTGGTTTTCACAAACTACAACTATTAGGATTATTGAGGAGTGATTCACCTTTGAACTGTTAGATTTCATTGATTAAAATCAAAACTTTAAAATAACATTCTAAAAAGTTGGTAAAGCCTTTTTATCAATGTTTCAACATCAAATCACTCAGTTAGCTCTGTATTACTGTTCAGTGGTTTTTAGACACAAGTTATCTACTTAGAGAATGTAGCAGATGATTTATTTGAATACATATTTTATGCCTTTTGCTGCTTATTAATATTTTAAAATATGTGTGATACCTAAGTGATATGCATGAATATAACTAAGACATACTGTACTTTAATCTTTCTACACATATCTTGATTAGATACATCTGCTCACCCATTTATAGATGTTTACAAGATAATTTACTGGTATTAAATAGACTGTTTCATACTATTCTTTCAGGAATGCAGGCTTTTCTCCAGCTTGTTCTTTCTTCTCCAGTCCAATGAACTTTTTTCTTTTTGAAGTATTACATTGCTTGTTGTAAATCCTATTCCTGATTGCCTGTTGGAAGTTTTGCCTTCTGTGCTTCCACTGTTAGAGTTAGTTAAACTTGAAATGTAATGAAAAGAGAACATTAGACCTTATCATCAGGGAAAATGTCTTGTGTGTCAAATAGTTCTGTGTGGTCTTACAATTTGCCTTTCTTAAGGCATGGATGGAGTTCATTCCTGTCTGTTTATAAAATTTCCTCACTATAGAAAGAGAGGTAATAACTAGTCAGCATGTTGAGATTGCTAAGCAGGTCTTAGCCTCAACTAGTGGTTGTGAACCTGCACATGGCATCTGTGCCACAGCTGGCTGTTATCATCAAAAGCTCAGAAAGGTTTACCATCACTGAAACCACCTAGAAGGGTATACAAATCTACTTTTGATGAAGTTCAAGCATCATTCCCTCCTATTTGCTGTTTACCCATGATGAGTGTTCAGCTTAGTAGCAGTGAAACGACTTTGCATGTAAAAATCAAAGCTATATTACACTAAAAAGAATGCTCACAGATTACATATTTAGTGGGAAAAATCAAGGTACACCAATATCAAACTTTATTATGAAAAATGATTTAATGTTAACATATAATACATCTTGTGTGCTACTCCAAGGGTTCTTAGAAACACATAACTTAAATGATGGATTTATGGGTTTCTGGCATATCCCACTGTGAGCTTTTGTTTTATTGGTACTTATCATTTTCTAGCAAAGTACTTTTAATTACTGGTAATCTTTTGGGTGCCATTTGGGGAAAAAAAGAAGTTGGTCTTGGTATAACAGAACTGATAGCCAGAGAAATTGAATAAATGGACTTATTAAAGAAAATTATTATTTAATTTTAAAAGAAATTGTATTATTTTGAAATTTGAAGATATGATACTTTCTGTTTTGGCTGCTATATATTTTAATTTATTCATATTTTTAATGGAGCAAAGTGTCCAAGTAACAGTTTGAAAGATAGTATAGTCAGTGATTTTTAAATAATTTTCTGTGTTACTTTTTTTTACCTGAAATGATTTATTCTTCACGGCAAATAGTTGCTTTCTATAGAATAATATGTATTTTCTTTTAAAAAAAATTTACATGTAAAGAGAGATTATGGTAAACATTTTAAATCCTAAGTTGTTTATATTTAATGGCTTAAGAAAGCAGCACTGTTGGTTCTGTTTAACTAAGATTTGCAGAAGGCAAACACATGTATTTTGCTGATATGTGCTGTCCAGAAAAATGATTAAATTCTCAACAACATGTTGCATTCACATATTGTAGAAATTCTATAATTAGTTTATTTTTAATTTTTCCCCTTGTTGACTGGTGGCATAAACATCTGAACACAAACTGATTCATTTATATATTAATGTTTTAAAACCTATTAGAAAATATTCATAGAACAGGTACATTTTGATGCAAGTTGCTAAATTGTATATAAAGGCAAATCTATATATTTAATAAGTGAAAATTATTATTTTATTACTGAAATTTATTTTCAAAGCAAATTTATTTTATAGGTATGCACTTAGAAAATTTTGTTTTGTCTCAAAAGCAGAGAATAACTCTGTCTTGTGATGTGGTCACTCAAAAGCCCCTAACATAAACTTGACATGTAGGAGGATTTTGAAATTGTTTGATAACATTTGTTTTTACTTTTGTTTGGATAAAACAAAATTAAGTTGGAGGCCGCTGTATTTTCTGAGTTTGAAGTTTCCTATTGTGTTGTCAGGGCCACCTGTATGTACTTCATGGTTAAATGTTCTGGTAATAAAATTTGTCAGTGTCTTAGCTTTTTCCTCACTACATTTGAAATTAGTCTCCTATTTTTCTCATTCTCAGTGGTCACAGTTTTACAGAGCAAAAATATTTTTAGAAGATGAAGATGTGTGAGTTTTGGGTAAAATGAGTGTGTTAGTAACATCCAACTGCCTGTCAAATAGGCAAGTGTACCATGTGAAGCTGCCTGGTACCAGACAGTGAAATAGACAGTAGGGATAAAAGCATCTTATCAATACAAATCAAGAAGAAAGAAGAAAACTGTGAACTTCTGATACTTTTAATATAAAAATTGTGTTTCCGGTGAATATTCTGCTTACTTTGTGTTAATGTTATCATCTATGATTTATAAGTTCATGCTGATATAAGATCTAAATTTTCAAGATGAATATAGCAATTTCTGTGGCCTATTTTTATCATTTATATGTTTTTGAAAGCAGATGTCATCTTAGAAATTATATTTTGAGTGCAAATAAATCATCCCAATTTGAAAGTCAACATGTTTTACATTTCATTCCTTAGTATTACAGAATTCTTTGCATTACTAAATATGTTTTTAAGTTGCCAGAATTTTTTCAGGTTTCTGTATTTTCATATGTCTACAAACAGCTTACCTACAACTCTAATTGAATTTTTATGTAAATTAAATGCTGTGTAATGAAATCGTGTAAAAGCTGTGTGCAACATCTTTTTTGCTAGTTTTTGTCATGTGATATAAACTTGAGTATTTGTTGCTGAGATTTCTTGCTTCAACTTAGCAGCAATTATGAAAGGTCTTCTTTGTACTTCATTGGCTGAACTTTGAGCATGAAGAGAGAGATTTTGTATGTTTGTTTTAAGGGAGGTAGTGACTTCTTGTTCATCATTATATAATCTATTTAAATTAGCTACCAGTATGTCCAGTTGGAGTAATCTTCACCATTCAGTATACCAGGTACATACTAGTCTTTTTAAACAACAGAGACTTACGGGGCATTTGCCTAATAGCTGAAGAGCATCTTATAGAGTCAGGGTGCAAGGAACTGGGAAAGTCCCAGAAGTATCTCAATACATCCTGGAAAGTCTTTTGAGATCTAGAGAACATTTCTTCTCCACTTCTCTGTTGGTATATTTGTGGTATGTGTTTGGCTGGTGAACTTCTGCTAGGTCACAGTAAACAGAGGCTTATTTGTCTGTTATGCCCTGTCTCTATTCAACTCCAAATTATCCTCATCAGGTCCTGGACTGTCAGAGTATCCACCTGTCTGGAATGAGGAGGAGGAAGGGAACCAGGTACTTGATGTTGGTCTTTAAAACACATGTTTCCTAAACAGATCATAGTTTTGTCTAACTTTATCTGAACATGGAGGTGTGACACAGAAATGATGATAATGGCACTAATGCCTGTCTTTCTGGTTACCAGATACCCAGTTCACTTTCCTTCCTGTGCACAGAATATGTTTTTCTCTGTTCAGGGCTGTAACCTGAAGTCCCTCCTGCAGCATGCCTTGTTATCTTAGTTCAAATCCAAATGTGGCTTCAAATTCCTATGGGTGCCATGAATTCAAAAGTTGTTTTTTTCTTTGTGCAAAATGTATATATTATTTGAACTGAGGTAGGATAGCCACTAAAATAAACACTCACCCTCAGCATCAAAATAAGCAGGGAAGCACCACACTGATATGTGGCATTCTGAAATCACATATTTTGAGACTCCCTACTTTAACAGGGGATCTGTCTCAGACCTTGTCCCCGTATTCCTGGGAAGAGGGCTGTCATCCATTGTATTTGGTAATAGCTATTTTCACCTTCTGAGAGATTTTTAATTTTTAAAAACAGTTTAAATCACATGTGAAGTGGCTGCTGTGAAGATTGCCCTCCTCACCCTTTCCTGCCTCATACAGAGCCCAAAGGATCATTTAAAGTCTCAAAAAGTTTCAGTGTGGTTTATTCTCCCACAACAGCATAAATCAGTCTCTCTCTCTCTCTCTCTGTCTCTCTCTCTCTCTCTCTCTGTCTCTGTCTCTCTCTGTCTCTGTCTCTCTCTCTCTCTCTCTCTCTCTCTCTCTCTCTCTCTCTGTCTCTCCCCCCCCCCATTGGTTTTATTTTAAAGAGGAAAAAATGGAAAACAATTGCTGTCAGGGCTTTGGGGAAATAGGAACCCTTCACTCTTGGTGAGAGTGTAGACAGGTAAAACCACTAGAAATCGGTGTGGAGATTCCTCAAAAAACTAGGACTAGAGGTTCCAATTCAAAAGAAAATTAACAACTGGGATAGAGGAAAGGAAAAAGGAAGGGAAAGAAAAAAATATACATATATGTCAGCTAAGACATTACTAATTTCTATTGGTTCACTGAAACAAAGCTTATGCTTATTCTGTGTGATCAATTTTTCATCCCTGTATCCTATAATCTGAGCAATTCCTTTGAAGATAATAAATACAATATGTTATTTACCATTGTTAATCCCCTATTAGCTTGTTACATTTACTATTTTTATTGTGGTTTTGTAAACTAAGCCTAAGGACACAGAGCTCCTCTGGAAACACTGGGGCAGCGTACAGCAAGTGTACCATGTGAAGCTGCCTTTTCCCAGGCCGCCTCACTTTCTGCTTTGACAGCAATAATTTAAATATGATTTTGGCGCATTCTCCCCAACTTTACACTTCGCCCCCAGAAATATTTGTAGAATTTAAACGTGGAAAGCTCAGAACCACTACACTAAACCACACTGTAGGCCAGTACACCATACACTAGTTGCTAATTATCATTGGGAAGCTAGACCCTACACAACAAGGAAATGAGGAAAGGACTTCTCTTGGTTCTTGTGTCTTTGATGAAAGATTCAGAACACAGTAGGCGGTTTTGTAGAGTATAGGCAGAATTTATTATAATTAATAGATTTTTCAGAGCAATTGATAGAACACACCAGTATGAGTGAAAGCAGGCAAGTGGCAAGATGGTAGCTAGCTGCCCCAAATTGAGGCTCAGCCTACATTTGCACACGTAAGGAACAGCATTTTCTTTCTCTGAGGTCACTGTTGCGACCAACTGCAGAGGGAAGAAGGCTCCTGTTTACTCTCTCGGTGGAATGCTTCCATTGAAGTTTTTGAAATCTTGAGGCTTTTTCAGTTCCTCCTCCAATGTCTGGACGTGTATGGTCCCTGAAGTTCATCTACATGTTCCAGCTGGCTGTGTTGTCCTTGGCTGTAGTTTGAAACTATAGCATTAGATGTTACATATAATTAATAATTACAAACACAAAGGAAATAGAAAACACCGTCTTTTTTTTTCTCCATCTTGCCCCAGGCACCTGCTGTAAGCCTTCTGATGTCCAACTCCTGCCTCACACAGTGGCTGAGTACCATCGTCTAGTCCGCGAAAGGGATGAAGTAAGGGTAGCTAACAGCATCACACCAGTGAACCCGTCTTTGTGCCACAAATGAGCTGAACTTCCTCAGATATTTCTAAACATAAAGTCCACAGCCATGTTCATTGACAGGAATATCATGCAACTATTTTAAAAGAACCATTTCTCTTTCTGACCACTGATCTCATAGTCAAACTGTGCCTTAGAAAGATGACCTGGCTGGGAAAAGATGACAGGGGAATGTGTTCTTTTTCATCCTGGCTGACAGTTAATGTATAAATCTCAGACGGGAGTTAAAATCCCCCGAGTCTGAAATGTCAGAATACACACGTTTCCTAGTGGATTAAGAGACACCGTAAGTATTTACATGCTCTCAGATATGCTGAAATTATAAAGGAATATAGAACAGGAGAAGAAGCTAGGCAAATATAAAGAAGGATCTGTTGGATCATTTTTAATTTTTTTTCCTGAAAGGATTTCTTTTTCAGAGAAGCCATTTTATGTGCAAATGAAAGACAGTTTAGCTCCACTGCTCCCCTGGCTCTGTTGCTGCTTCCTTTGTCCCCATGGTCGGCCAGTTTGCCAAACAGATGTTTTGCCAAATTAAGATTGATTTACTTGGTGATGGAAGACAGATCAGGAAATAATTGGTATTCCAGGACTTTAAATAAACCTATAGAAAAATACAGTCTCTGTATTATTAAAATGACTTTGCTTTTAATTTTTCTGCTTAAAAAGAAGTGCTCTGCTTAAAACCATTAATTTATTAATGTAGATCTCTAGCTAGTGAAGGAAAGGAGAAAATAATATGGAAACTTTCAGGGCTAGAATAAGCTCTTGAAATTGGAAATGATCACAAATGCAGTAATTACTAACTTAATCCTGTATAGATTTGTAGTCATTCCTTTTCATGTTATTTTTGGCATACTAGCTATGGTAGTATGTCGTAATGCTGATATAACTGGTTTCTCAGAAAACAAGATTTGTGACAGTTTGCTCCATTCGGCTCCAAAGACAATCTGAAGCTTTGAAAGTGGGACTAAAAATGTCCACAAATCTCTCTTGCAGCTGTTGCTGGTATAACATGTAGGATTTCCTTAATTAAAATTTGAGATTTTTTTAATGCTTGGTCCCTCCACTTCTCTCCACCCCGCTAAAGCTCAGATGATACTCTGCCATAGCTATATGGGAGTCTTCAAAAAACAAAAAAAAGGCCTAATTGTTCTATCAAAAGACCTAATTTTTTAAGTTTGTGGTTAGTGTTAGTCATTTAGATTTTATCTAACCTGAATTCTAACAAATGAAATTCAGCTTTCATGATGAAGAGAACATATAATTAAACTCAAATCATAATTATTAACAAAATGTCATGGACACTTCCTGGGGTCACCTTGTAAGCCTCCAGTCACATGGCTTTCACCATCTTAGGCTGAGAACTCCCAACTTTTTAATCTGAACTGTCTCACCATATTCTAGTCACTTATCCAGCTGCTCCCACAGCACTGATATCTAACAATGGTCTTAAACTCATGTCCAAAAGTGACCTGACTATTCCTCCTACACCTGCTTAGCTGGCCCTTTTCTCATCTCAGTTGGTGCATCTCCAACCTTCCAGCTGTTCAGGACCGAAGTCCGGACGCCACTCTGGTCTGAGGCACCGTCACTTCTTGTCTGGATTACCACCTCAGCCTCCTGTCTCCCTGCTTTTTGCCCTACTCTCCTCATCACAGCCAGGGAAATATTCTCAGTCTGCTCATGCCACTCCTTTGCCCTGCTTCTTTATTTCACTCAGAGTAAAATTCAAAATTCTTAAAACAGCCCTGTTACTTGATATTTGCCATTGGAAAACAACTCTCCTAGGGTATCTTGATTTTCTGAACATTGTCAAGAAAAAACCACCAACTAGCTTTGTGTTGTTCCAGACCATATTTTCAAAAATGCTTAGATAGGGGCCCTAGAGGTTAGCTGAGCAGTGTAAGCATCTTCCTGGCAAGTGTGAGGTCATGAGTTCGATCCCTGGCACCAAAAAAAAAAAAAAAAAAAAAAAAAAAAAAAAGCTTAGATAGCAAGTAGCTAGGAAAGACAGAGATACAGTAATGTCTCACTTTGGAGAATTCAGATTTATTTGCCCTCCAGTGAGACAAAGATAA